TTTTTATTGCTGATTTTTATCTGCATCAGCTTCTTGCTTACCCATGGCCTAATCATCAGTGGGGAGCTGAGTGGGGAAAAAAGGGAAAGCCTTGATGCTGTGCGCACACTGAAGCACTGGTTTCCAACTGGTGTTGCCAACGCTCTTCTAGCCACAAATCCAAAGCCCAGCACCGTAGGGGCTGCTATGGAAAAAGTTAATTCCAACCCAAGCAGAGCCAGTATGATGCTGATGGGACCTGCAGCTTGCTCCTGCCTGGGATGCTGCAGAGTTTTCCCTTCTGGTTTTGATTTCCCCTGAGCCTGAATAAAACCCCTCTTGTATTTTGAGTGTCAAACGTAGGATGTTTCCAAGGATTTTGTAGATGGAGAGACTGTTTCCTGATGCAGGTCAGCTCTCACTTCCAGCTGTTTGCACAGGCTCCAGGAAGGACCCAGAGAGAGGCAAAACCTTTATCCCTCATCTGGATCTTCAGAGATACTTACCCGGAGCTTCAGCTGAGACAGGGAGGTAGGCAACACAAATATCAGCACCGAAGCATTAGGGGTGAGCTGGTGGGGTTCATCGAAGCTTCGAACTCACGGGTGTAACCCCAGGCTGGGGGCAGGAGCCCGGCTGGGCAGCGGGAGCTGTAACTGCTGTCGGGCTGGGGTCTGAGCTAAGCAATAGCTGAGCAGGTGCCTGAGCACGTGTAACATACTGTACATAGCCCACTTGCTCTTTGTAGCGAGGAAATTGCATGTTGTCTCCCATTCCTGTGTGATGCTGGTAGGTCTGGGGATGTCGGGGTTCCTCTTTTTTTTTAACCGTGTGCTGTACTCGGTCTTCGCTGCAATCAGGTGTCAACGATGGGTTATTATTTGTTGTTGTCAGGGGTATTTTTTTTTAACTTTACAGTGTGATCTCTGTGTTTCTCAATATTTATAATGGTTACAGCATCACGGAAGTGAGAGCAGTTCCCTTCCAGCTGTAGCAGAGCGGGTGAGCTTGCCCAGTTGTGAGCTGGAGGAAAGGTCCAAGCAGAAAAGTCCCGTTAGTCAAAACTAGTATTTTAATCCAGGGCTCCCCCCCTCAAAAAAAAAAAAAATGGGGCTACTGATTTGTTTTGTTTTAACGTTTGCTGTTGAGATAGTAGCACATATTTTTTAGCACAGAGGCTGTAAAAGTGGGTGAGCCAAAATACTTTTTGAACGGTGTTCTGGATTTGCAGAGCTTTTGGGTTGGCTGGTTGGGTTTAGGGGGGAATTTTTGTTGTTGTTTTTTTAAAAACAAAATAAATGTGTCCTCTTCAGAGTATGTTGGCCTTGCTTTGCCTTTCGTGCTTTGCTACTGGTAATCAGCTGCTGGTGACTGGAAACTGAATGAGGCTCTGACATCACACAATTTCTCCTGCTTTACTATGAGAGAAGGTAGGAAAGACTTGACCTTGCTGGGGTTTGAGGGAAAGACCCAACCACCTCTTTAACCTGCCTCCAGTGCCCTGGAGAGTCCCACATCCCCAATCCTGGACCCACAGGGGGCTGGACCCACAGCTCCCCAAACGTGCCCTCCAGGGCTTGTCGACACTGCCCAGCAAATCCAGGCTCTCCTACCCAGAGGGCACATCCCCATCTGCTCTGCTCCAGCCTGATATTATCCTCTGGCTGCTGCCACGAGGCAAGAAGTTGCTTTTCTCAAATCCCACCTGCCCCCCCTCCTCCTCCTGGGTCACAGCAGCTGACGGCACATGCACAAAGCAAATGCAGCTAAACCAGTAATGAGAGAGATGGGGATGAGTCTCTGGAGCCAAGGAGCCAGCGCCAGGCCCCGAGGGAATGGCCTCAAGCTGCCCAGGGCAGGGTCAGGCTGGCTCTGAGGAAGGATTTCTGTGCAGAAGGGGCTGTTGGGCGTTGGAATGGGCTGCCCAGGGCAGGGGGGAGTCCCCGGGATCCCTGGAGGGGTTGAAGAGTCGGGCTGAGCCAGCGCTGAGGGGTCTGGGGGAGTTGGGAACGGTCAGGGGGAGGGTCATGCTTGGGCTGGAGGAGCCTCAAGGGATTTTCTAACCTTGGTGATTCTGTGAAAAGCAAAATGTGCCCACACCTCAGTCTGCCTTGTGCAGCATTTGCCTCCCAAAGCTGCAGTGTCTGTCCAGGACTGGAGCAGGACACACCTCCATGCACCTTCTTTAAGCCTCATCAGGGCAGTGACCTCCCTAACGTCATTTCTCCCCACAGAGCCCTTCCAGGTCCCAGTGATCGGGCTGACCCTGCCAATCATGTGGTTCTACCTCCTCATGAACGTCATCACTCAGTATCCTTTAAAAATTCAGCCTGAGACACGCTGCAGAGATGGCAGCGGGGTGGGAGAGGAGGACTGGGGTGCGGGTGCCATGTCCCTGCGTTTGGGAGCTGATGTTCGTGGCACTCTTGGAAAATTGAAATTTAACCTGGAACTTTTTTTCCAGGGTGGCTGAACCACCTGGCCACCACCTCTTGGAAAATACAGAGTGGAATTTAACCTGGGCCTGACGTTATTTCCAGGGTGGCTGAAATCTGCCACCACGTCCTCAGGGGAAGGCTGGTTGGTGTAAACTCACGGTGATTTTGGTAGCCAGTTCTCAGTAGAAGGGACAGATGAGGAGCTTTTTGTAATGTATCAACGTGTGGCATCTTCCAGGCAGTGAGGACAACCCTGAAAGTCTGAAGAATCCCCTCAAGAAAGAGACTCTTCAGTCCAAGGCCCTCCTACCCTCTTCCTCTCAGTGTTGGAGAGCGCTGTGCTCTGCAGGTGCTCACGCTCCTCCATGAAAACCCCCTCTTTTAATCTGCCTTTCCCATGCCCCCTCGTGAGGGACAGGGAAATTCTGGTGGGTATAAAGGGAGAAGTCTGATTTTAGCTTCCCTTGGCTCCGTGGCAGGGGCTGTAAACGCTGCACCCTGTTAACTTTTTGACAATACACCAGCCCCAGCTGCTCTAGGGGGTTAGTTCTGCTGTCCCAGGGTGAGCTTGGGGGAAGTCCGGAAGATTTGGGGTGTCCCTGGGGTTTGTAGTGAACCTGTTCATAGCTGGAAAAATGCTGATGTGAGGAGAAGGGAATTTTAATTCCCTCTGTAACCAAACTGGGGCTCCCTTCTGCCTTCCCAAAGGCCTGCCCAGGTGTTCTCCCTCTCCAGCCCCGATGTCCCCTTACCTCCACCCCCCCAGATATGTCTGCATCCGAGGCGTCTTCATCCTGACCACGGAGTGCACCTCCCTCACTGTCACGCTGGTGGTGACGCTGCGCAAGTTCGTCAGCCTCATCTTCTCCATCCTCTACTTCCGTAACCCCTTCACGGCCTGGCACTGGCTGGGCACCGCCTTCGTCTTCGTGGGGACTCTCATGTACACGGAGGTGTGGAACAGCCTCGGGCCCTTCCTGGCCCGCTGGAGGAAGAGGCCGAAGGAGGAGTAACAGCCAGGGACTCTCTGCAGGGACCTTTTTAATTGTTTTATAGAGCAGAGCAGCAGGGAATCCCCCAGAGGGGGGTTGTTTTTATAACACAGGGGAGGTGCTGGCTGTGCCAAGCTCCTGGGAAACATGGAGCCACCGCTGGGAACCGACCTGAAACGGATCACGGAGAGGCGATACGGTTATTTTTGCAAGGTTGCATTTTTTTTTATGCAATCCCTTTTGCTTCCAACCTCTCCCCCTGTTTGTTCTTTTTTTTTTTTTTTTTTTTTTTTTTTTTCATTTGAATAACCCTTTTAAATGTAAAAGCTGACCCAGTTCTCTTAGGAGCCCAACCTTGTTGTGGTGCTGTTGTCCACTCCTCCCAACTTTGATGAGCTGTACCCTGAGCCTCTTTGGTGCCGTCCTTTAATGTCCAGGTGGCCGTGGAGGGTGGCTGAGCCCCAGGGAGCTGCTGTTTGTGCAGTTAGTTACACTGGAAAGGCAGCGCCTGGCTGTTAACCTGAGTCCCCGTTGCCTGATCCTACCACCTGTGCTGGAACGGTGTTGGATGCACCTGTAGCAGGAGCCCACCAGTCTGCCCAGTAGATCCTCCACTGGGGAATGGCTCAGGGGGCTGATTCCCAAACCACCAAGCCCCCATCAGTAGTAGCAGGGCCTAGTTGGGAGCCTGAGGAAATCAAAAAGGGGTGATGCTACGGGGACCGAAAGTGCCACTGTGTCACCTCCACAGCCTTCTCAGGGAGACGGTGAAGCGCTGTTGAGGCTTCACTGAGTCCTCAGACGTTGCCCTGATACTTCAGGAGGCAGAGGGTGTTGTGCGTTCCTCCTGCTTTCCTTAGGCCCTCAGTGCAGGGCACTTTTCAGTCGCTTCCTACTTCTTCCCTCGTGACAAGCATGTTCAGTGGGCGTCGTTACGGGCTTCCAGCTGCAGCAAACTGCTGAGCCCCCAGCACGCCTGTGGGGCCACAGCTCCAGCCCAACCTCAGGGGTCAGGTGACGCCAAGAATCTTAAGAAGGGCCAGTAGAGCTGAGCTTATTTCTGCTGCTGAGGGAGGGTCTGTACTTCCTTTCCTTTCACTTTTCCCCTTCTCCCACCCCTTGGGCATCAGCTTCTCTTATGGCATTTCTGTGCATCGTAGCAGCATCCACCTGGTGCAGGGCCGGTGTCCCTCAGTGTCACCTATCACCAGGGGCAGGAGCGGCCTTCGGGAGCTCTGCGGGGCTGTCCCCATGCGTGTGTCTCCCAGCAAGGTGAGGAGCAGCAGCTGCATCTCTTCTGAGCTCAGTGTTGGGCAGAGCCAGGGTGAGCGCGCAGCCTTGGCTCGGTCTTAGCGCCGCAGGGAGCTGTTTTGTGCTGCTTCGTTTTTCCTGGAGCACCTTGTTTCTGTCATCCTGATCCTGTTCCTGCTCAGCCGTGACAATTGGGGCATCCAGCAACATCAACCTGATTGACATCTTGGCCAAGTAAGGACGATACCTCCGTTATTCCTTCACCCAATGTCCCGATGGCTCCCGGCCTCGATGTTTACAACCCTTCCAACGTTAAACCTGGCCTTGTGGTGGGTTAACCCCAGACAGTGCATGGCTGCTCACTGACCCCCACAGTGCAACCAGGGAGCAGGGAATAAGAGCAAACCCAAGAAAATGGGTGAATAAAGATGGTTTAGAGTAGAGATAAAGGTGGTTTCACAGCAAAGGAAAGAAGGGGAAAAGACCCCCAAGTGATGCAGCCACCTACCCTCCGTGCCCAGCCAGTCCCCGAGCAATGGCCACCTTCCCAAAAAACACCTTTCCATCCCTTTTTATTGCTGATTTTTATCTGCATCAGCTTCTTGCTTACCCATGGCCTAATCATCAGTGGGGAGCTGAGTGGGGAAAAAAGGGAAAGCCTTGATGCTGTGCGCACACTGAAGCACTGGTTTCCAACTGGTGTTGCCAACGCTCTTCTAGCCACAAATCCAAAGCCCAGCACCGTAGGGGCTGCTATGGAAAAAGTTAATTCCAACCCAAGCAGAGCCAGTATGATGCTGATGGGACCTGCAGCTTGCTCCTGCCTGGGATGCTGCAGAGTTTTCCCTTCTGGTTTTGATTTCCCCTGAGCCTGAATAAAACCCCTCTTGTATTTTGAGTGTCAAACGTAGGATGTTTCCAAGGATTTTGTAGATGGAGAGACTGTTTCCTGATGCAGGTCAGCTCTCACTTCCAGCTGTTTGCACAGGCTCCAGGAAGGACCCAGAGAGAGGCAAAACCTTTATCCCTCATCTGGATCTTCAGAGATACTTACCCGGAGCTTCAGCTGAGACAGGGAGGTAGGCAACACAAATATCAGCACCGAAGCATTAGGGGTGAGCTGGTGGGGTTCATCGAAGCTTCGAACTCACGGGTGTAACCCCAGGCTGGGGGCAGGAGCCCGGCTGGGCAGCGGGAGCTGTAACTGCTGTCGGGCTGGGGTCTGAGCTAAGCAATAGCTGAGCAGGTGCCTGAGCACGTGTAACATACTGTACATAGCCCACTTGCTCTTTGTAGCGAGGAAATTGCATGTTGTCTCCCATTCCTGTGTGATGCTGGTAGGTCTGGGGATGTCGGGGTTCCTCTTTTTTTTTAACCGTGTGCTGTACTCGGTCTTCGCTGCAATCAGGTGTCAACGATGGGTTATTATTTGTTGTTGTCAGGGGTATTTTTTTTTAACTTTACAGTGTGATCTCTGTGTTTCTCAATATTTATAATGGTTACAGCATCACGGAAGTGAGAGCAGTTCCCTTCCAGCTGTAGCAGAGCGGGTGAGCTTGCCCAGTTGTGAGCTGGAGGAAAGGTCCAAGCAGAAAAGTCCCGTTAGTCAAAACTAGTATTTTAATCCAGGGCTCCCCCCCTCAAAAAAAAAAAAAATGGGGCTACTGATTTGTTTTGTTTTAACGTTTGCTGTTGAGATAGTAGCACATATTTTTTAGCACAGAGGCTGTAAAAGTGGGTGAGCCAAAATACTTTTTGAACGGTGTTCTGGATTTGCAGAGCTTTTGGGTTGGCTGGTTGGGTTTAGGGGGGAATTTTTGTTGTTGTTTTTTTAAAAACAAAATAAATGTGTCCTCTTCAGAGTATGTTGGCCTTGCTTTGCCTTTCGTGCTTTGCTACTGGTAATCAGCTGCTGGTGACTGGAAACTGAATGAGGCTCTGACATCACACAATTTCTCCTGCTTTACTATGAGAGAAGGTAGGAAAGACTTGACCTTGCTGGGGTTTGAGGGAAAGACCCAACCACCTCTTTAACCTGCCTCCAGTGCCCTGGAGAGTCCCACATCCCCAATCCTGGACCCACAGGGGGCTGGACCCACAGCTCCCCAAACGTGCCCTCCAGGGCTTGTCGACACTGCCCAGCAAATCCAGGCTCTCCTACCCAGAGGGCACATCCCCATCTGCTCTGCTCCAGCCTGATATTATCCTCTGGCTGCTGCCACGAGGCAAGAAGTTGCTTTTCTCAAATCCCACCTGCCCCCCCTCCTCCTCCTGGGTCACAGCAGCTGACGGCACATGCACAAAGCAAATGCAGCTAAACCAGTAATGAGAGAGATGGGGATGAGTCTCTGGAGCCAAGGAGCCAGCGCCAGGCCCCGAGGGAATGGCCTCAAGCTGCCCAGGGCAGGGTCAGGCTGGCTCTGAGGAAGGATTTCTGTGCAGAAGGGGCTGTTGGGCGTTGGAATGGGCTGCCCAGGGCAGGGGGGAGTCCCCGGGATCCCTGGAGGGGTTGAAGAGTCGGGCTGAGCCAGCGCTGAGGGATCTGGGGGAGTTGGGAACGGTCAGGGGGAGGGTCGTGGTGGGGCTGGAGGAGCTTCAAGGGATTTTCCAACCCAGATGGTTCTGTCATCTGAAAAGTCATGGCAGTCAGGGGAAGTCCCTGGTGACTGGAAAAGGGGAAATTGCACCCATTTTTAAAAAGGGTAGAAAGAAGGGCCCTGAGAATGACCAACCAGTCACCCTCACCTCTGTGCCTGGGAAGCTCATGGAACAAATCCTCCTAGAAGCTGTGCTAAGGCACAGGGAGGACAGGGAGGGGATTCAAGACAGCCAGCGTGGCTGCACCAAGGGCAAATCCTGCCTGACCAACCTGATGGCCTTCTATGATGGAGTGACGACATCAGTGGACAAGGAAAGATCTATGGATGTCATCTGTCTGGAATTCTGTAAGGCCTTGACACTGTTTGCTGCAACAGCCTTCTCTCTAAACTGGAGAGATGTGGATTTCATGGGTGGACTGTTGGGTGGATGAGGAATTACCTGGATGGTCTAATCCAGAAGGTAAGGGTCAACAGCGCAATGGCCAGATGGAGATCAGTGATGAGTGGTGTCCCCGGGGGTCTGTGCTGGGACCAGCACTGTTAATATCTTCATCAATCGAGTATCTTCAGCCCTGCAGATGAGGACTTTGGGGGGTTGGTGGATGGAAAACTGCCTGTGAGCCAGCACCGTGTGCTGGCAGCCCAGCAAGGCCCCGTGTGCTGGGCTGCACCCAGAGCAGGGTGGGCACAGGGCCAGGGGGGGATTCTCCCCCTCTGCTCCGCTCTGGGAGACCCCCCTGCAGGGCTGGGTCCAGCTCTGGGGCACCAACAGCAGAAGGACACGGACCTGCTTGAGCGGGGCCAGAGGAGGCCACGGAGATGCTGGGGGGGCTGGAGCCCCCCTGTGAGGACAGGCTGGGAGAGTTGGGGGTTCAGCTGGAGAAGAGAAGGCTCCGGGGAGACCTTAGAGCGGCCCGCCAGGGCTGAAAGGGGCTGCGGGAACGGGGGGAGGGACTCGTCATCAGGGGGTGTAAGGATAGGATGAGGTGGAACGGGGTTAAACGGACAGAGGGGAGATTTAGATGAGATCTGAGGCAGAAATTGTTCCCTGTGAGGGGGGTGAGGCCCTGGCACAGGCTGCCCAGAGAAGCTGTGGCTGCCCCCTCCCTGGCAGGGTTCAAGGCCAGGTTGGACGGGGCTTTGGGCAACCTGGGCTGATGGAAGGTGGCCCTGCCCGGGGCAGGGGGAGTGGGACTGGATGATCTTTAAAGGCCTCTTCCAACCCAAATTATTCCCCAATTCTATGAACCCTTTCAGTCTTCCCTCAACACCGCAGCCTGGCTCACCATGGTGGGTCAGAGAGAAACAAAGGATTTTTTTTTTTTCTTATTAAAGCAAGAGCAAAAGCCTTGCAGTCCTTTGGGAAACCCGATGAAATCCCTGTCACTTCCAAGGTGTAAAAAACTTGCTCCTGCCACTAAATTAAATGAGCGGGGCAATAGAGGGATAAAGATGTCTCTGTAAATCACTTGGAGCCACAGAGTTCATTTCTGTTCAGCGTCTTTCATTATAACTATCGTAAATCAGCAGCTGGAGCCCAAGAGGGCAAGAAGGTGAGATTTATTGACAGGGGAAATCTGGGAGGGGAAGAGCTCAGAGGATACAGAACTTTTTTTTTTTTTATTTGCCTCAGGCGTAGCCCAGGCTCACAGATCTCTGCTGGCACCCTTCCTTCTTTGAAAGCTCTCCAAAGTTGGCTGGAAATTTTTATTATTACTTTTCCACTTCCCTACAGTTATAACCAGCCGGCTTTCACCCTTCGCTCCCCTCCCTCTCCCTGAGCAGCTGCAAGATGGATGCACTGACCCTGCATTGACCGAGGGACCTCAGCACAGGGCAAGCGGACAGTTAATTTACACCTTTCCAGGCTGAGAGGGAGGAGGCAAAGCAGGAACATCACGGCCCCATTTCACACGGAGGAGGTGCTGGGGAGCGGCCAGCAGAGAGACAGGTGACATCATCTCTGCTGGGAAGATGCCGTGTACACCGAGATGAGGGGTTAATCCCAGAATTATTCAGGTTGGAAAAGCCCCTCGGGATCATCGAGTCCAACCCTCATCCCGGCTCTGGCTCTACAAAGTTCTCCCCTACCCCACATCCCCCACAGCTCATCCCAACGGCCCTGAAACCCCCCCAGGGATGGGGACGCCCCCCCTGCCCTGGGCAGCCTATTCCAACGCCCAACAGCCCCTTCTGCACAGAAATCCTTCCTCAGAGCCAGCCTGACCCTGCCCTGGGCAGCTTGAGGCCATTCCCTTGGGGCCTGGCGCTGGCTCCTTGGCTCCAGAGACTCATCCCCCCTCTCTGCCCCCTCCTGGCAGGGAGTTGCAGAGGGCCAGGAGGTCTCCCCTCAGCCTCCTCTTCTCCAGACTGAACCCCCCCAGTTCCCCCAGCCGCTCGTCGTATGACATGTTGAGATGTGGGTCTCAAGAGAAGATCTCTTCTCCGGAAGGATCCTCACCATGGGGAATTTTTCAGTGTGAAGCCTTCATGCATCCATGATGGACATCACTGATTTACACCTTCATGCTTTACTTGCTCTGAGGTATGAGCGGGGAAAAGCATGAATGATAAAAATGTCGGAGCTGCCTCCTCCTCCCTGCAGGAAAATGAAATTCATCCTCAGCTACAAGGGTTCCTCTCCCTCCGCCTTACAGGAGGCAGAAAAAAAATATCTCGGAAGCTTGAAATATTTTGTGAGGGTTACCAAAAGGGTACAGCCAAGAAGCAAGATTTAGTGCAGAGCTTAGGCAGGGTCTGCAGGGCTGAGCAGCCCAGGGGCTGAGCGCTGGGGCCGCAGGGCTGACTCTGTACCAAGGGGCTCCTGCTTGGGCTCCGACCCCGCAGACCTCGGGCAGAGGGTATGTGACGCAGCTGGAGATGGAAGTAACAAGTGGTAAAGGGATGGGGGACCCAAAGGAGTTTTTTAGGGCTGGAATTATTGAAGCTACGGTGTAGAAGTGTGGGGTGAGACCAGGGAAAGACCCGCTGGGTCTCCTTCAAACCCTTCCCTGGGTCTCCCTTGAGTCAGGGATGCAAAGAAGAACACGGGCAATTGGTGTAATCACACCGAGCAGCAACTGTCCTCACCCCCACCACGGCACGGCTAAAAAAAATTATAATTGGTTTTGACAGCTGCCAAATTAACAGCATATTATGCAGCATATTCAATTAGACAAGCTCCCGAGGGAGCAGGCAGAGGTAGTGGGGCAGCCAGACGCTGCTGGGACATGACATGGTGCTGCAGGAAGGTACTTCTAGAAATGGATGTGTGTGCTCTTCAGAGAAATAAACAGCCCTTTCGTCAATACCGGCAACTATTCCCCATCTGTTTCCAGAACATCCTTAAAAAATAAAATAAAATAAAAAGGTGCAGCTGCTGGATTTGCAGTGGTCTCACCAGCAAGTCAAGCCTCTACCAGTGGTTGGTAGCTTCTGGGCTTTCTAGGGCTCATATCAATGGGTTTAGTGTGGAGGGAGGCAGGGAGATGTCAGAGTACCAAACCAAACCATTTTGCACCTTTTTTTTTTTTTTTTTAAATGCAGCTATTAATTTGGGGAGCAGGTACAGGAGAATCCCAGCCACCACGTCTCTTGCTCTCACCTTCTAAAGGCAGCAGGTTGCCCTGGTTGCCTGTGCACTCTGTGATCATCCATGGAGCATCTCTGCCTCCAGCACTCAATATGCTCCGTAGATTTGCAGGAGCAGCTATTTATGGGCCTGTTCTGCAGCCCCTGGAAATCTTCACTGAGCTGCACATAAAGTTTTAGCGAGCAAACTTCATAGCCTCTCTCTCAGGCTCAGGTCTGTATTAAAACACCGTCCTCTTATGTCTAATGAGCATGGCATTTCTTAATTCAGCAGCTCCTTATCCTGCAGCATCTGTGTTGTAACTCCCTACCATGTTGCTACTGGCCTGGGGAGGAATCAGGGTAAAAAAGCTGCCCTTTATTTCCCAAAACACTGATGCATAAGCAAAGTCTTCTCAGCTTCACCTCAAACACCCGGTGTTTGAGCAGAGATGCAGGACTCCTGGGTTCTGACCTGACTCCTGTAAAAAAAAAACCTCATGAGATAACACAAATCATTGGAATTTCTGCCTTGATTTACCAGTGTGCAACACAGGGCTATGACACAGACCGTGTGGTAAGTGCACAGCTACATCCTCCGGCTGGTAAAGCCATTTGCAGTCACAAGGCAGCAACCACAGTTACTGATTTTATTGAATGTTGAATGTTTAATTTAAAAAAGGGAAATTAAACAGCTTGTTATACTCCCCTCTGTAAAATTCAAGACTCAGAGACTTGTTTAACTATGACTAACTTAAGGTGTTACTCTGCTGTAATCCAAACACGCTTCCTGCCAATAAAAACAGAGTTCCCTGAAACAGCCCCGCTTTTATCTGCCAGTCTATAAATATATAGGCACCAAGTTACAAGTTCTGTACTTTCAGCCAAAAATAAACACTCTAAACTAAAAACGACGAACTGCAAAGCTTCACAATCTGCTAAATGAGATGTAAATATTACGTATCGGCAAGCCAACAGCACTTCTGCCTTCAAACTTGGCCAGATGTTCCCCGCTTCAGGGTGCAGGAGACAAAGGGCAGGTCAGCCTAATGCACTTGGGTCTGGAAACCTCCTAAATGGCGTTAGCAATTCCATCTGTGGTCTGCTGGGGGCTGGGAAGAGAGCAAGTGAGACCGTACGGCTGGAAAAGTTTAGGGAGGGAAGGCAAGAAACTTAATATTTTGCTGAATCGACTTCAGCAAATTCAGCTTCTCGCTGGTATTTTTAAAATCTCACGTCCTACTTCTGTGCAAGGTCCTCATCCCCTGGTCTGCATGTGTAACCCCGCTGAACCTGCCACATGTGGAAGCATTTGAAAGCTCAGGGCCCAAGGGATGGACTGCAAACCAGGAGATTCGCTGCAAACGTCATTGATACAAACGCAAGTAAGGTAACCGAAACCCTGGTCACAGAAGGACAAATGATTTTCTTTTTACAGCTGGGAAATAAGAGTAACATATTTATACCCCTCCTGTATGCTCAGCTCTATATAATCAAAATAGAGATACAATTCCTGTGCTGCAGAGTTTAAGACTGTTCCTGTAAACATGAGTAGTTTGAATCACTGTGCTCGCTCGCTGCAGACGTACAAAGGCTTTTGCACGCTTCAAGCAGAGGAAATGCAGCACGATTCGGGGATAACCTGTCATGTTTTGTCCAGTTCTACCCAGAAGGGAGTAACTGCCCCACGGGAAGAGTGGAGGGCTGGGGCTGACGGGGGAAGAACGGCGCAGGGATGGCAGCAAAAGGAACGAGATGCTGAGGTATCACCCACCGCCCTTATTTTCCAGACACACGTACCCAGGCTGCCGTGCGGAGCAGTCTAGGTACAAGGATTCCTGCATTAGCGTCCAGGAGAAAACTAATTTACCTGCACTGACTCTACTCCCTTCCTCATTTAAGCGAGGAGGTGTGATCACCCCTGGCCCTGCTGGCTATGAACCACGAGGTACCTTGTACGTGTTCATTAACCGTGAGAGTGACAAAACCACTGTCACCTGTAAACCAGCACAAACTGATAACGCCCATCAGCATCCACGTCAATTAACTGTGCAGCCAGCTCTAACAGCCAGGCCAGCTTCTGCAAAGGTATTTATAGAGGCAAAGCAGCTGTGAAGAGCCTGGTGGGATTTGCTGAAGAAACTCTGGAGGTTGGGTGGTTACTCGGTGGCAGTCAGGTACCCCCCTCGCTGAACCGCCTTGGTGGAAAACCCATCAAGGTTGAAACTGCAGCTTAGGTTGCCTGAACTCTTTCTGAACCCAGGCCACAGAGCAGCATTGCTTTTTGTTCTGCCAAAATCAATGATAAAAAACTGGTGCCTCGGAAGAGCTGTTGTTCTTCAGCTTGAGGATACAGCCAGCTGCTATATGGAAAGGAAACTATTTAATAAAGAGCTGAGTTGTTTTACAGGCTTCACTGGAATTTAAGGTCAGGCTATCTAAATTTATCCGTTACTTACCATGAGCTGTGTTGCTTCGTTCAGTTCATCTATTTAATCAACAAAACCCCCTTGGCCACCTTGTGAACATGCATGGTGAGGTAAAGCAGAGCTCTTCCACGGATGTGACTCCATGCTGTGGCAACGAGTCACATCATCTGGGCACACAGAGACCTCCTGTAATATGAGCAGCAAATGCCCCTCCTTGGGGGAAGCTGCTCGGGCAAAAGGGCCCCACTATCTGTTCTGTAATTAGATAATAATGAAAATTAATCAGGACAAACGTTAACTCTACAGTTTTATTTACTTGTCAGAGCTCTGCTCCACATACAGAAAAACAAATCTTCATGCACTACTTACAGCTTCAGCTAGTTCTCAATAATTGTACAAATTTTTTTTCTGATGACTCCTTACTAGGTTGTTTAGATAGACTTGCAAAACAAGAATTATGGCTCACCCCTTAAAACAAATACATTTTATTTAAAAAAAAAAAAAAGACTTGGAACTAGTTTTCACTCCCAACTTAACTCTGAATATTTCACAAAATCCCTCTTCAAAATAATTCACTAGTCCTACAATATAGACAATATTATCAGAGGCCCTGATGTTTCCCCACCTCAATTAAATCTATAATATAGAAGGGGAAGAAAATAGAGAAATTAATGGAAGATATGGTCATGTGGCTGTTAGAAAAATATCTACGCCATTTCCCAGCTGAGAGTGCCTGGGGAAATAATGTCTAGCTTTGGGAAATACAGAAATTACTTTTTAATAAAGTTAAAAATAAATAACTTCTTTGGGAGAGTTAATCAGAAATGGATTTAGAAATAATATTTGATAGACTTTGCTTTGTTGAAGTGAAATATATCAAAATCAGTGTTCCTGTTGAACAGAAAGATTCAGTGTAATCATGACAAAGACTTGACTAGTGGTTGGCCATCAAGGGTTGGTCCTCTTCTGCCCCGGTGGGATTGGAGGTAGGACAGGTTTGGAGTGGGATCCTGGCCAGGTGATGAGCTGAGGCACGTGAGAAGAACCAGCCTTGGACTTGCTGTATTTTCTCTGAAGATTGTCACTAGGGGTTTCGGTCTCTGCAGAAATTACAAACAAATGAAGAAGCACTAAGAGGGTGTTTGTTTCAATGAAAAGTTACAATTTCCTACAAAACATAACTCCAGCTGAAAACCCAGTGTTTTGGGGAGCGGGGAAGAGTAATATCTGTAGGTAGTCTAGTGACTGCTTTACCTCATATATATGGAAGAGTAACTTTATGCCCAGGCAGTCACTATTTTTAATTTCTCCAAAGGTTTGTTGAGAGAAAGCTGCCGCACTGCGTATGTTGCCTTCACATTGTGATGATTCTGCCTCATCATAACGTTGCAGCTTGTAGGAGTGTCATGACCAGAAGCCTGAAGAGGCTGTCCCGTCACCCAAATGAAGCTGTCAGCATTACAGTAAGATGCACAACCTGAGCAAAACTCTTACTTTGGTTCAAACCTTTCAGTCTATCCACTCCATTTTCAGCTCCTCTTAGGTCTTGATGCTCAGCTTTGGCATCTCCAGTGAGGTGAGCTTGGGGAACAGGGGTCCGAACGGGCAGGCCTTCAGCAGCAGGTGCACCAGATGAGATTAGGAATCGTCCACGAGCAGGACCAGATTCTCTGGAGCTGAGAGAGGAAAACGATTCATGCTTTAAAACAGCAATAAAAAAAAGTACATGCACCAAATCTGACAGTACTACTGATACTGCAGTCACACAACTCAGTCAAAAGTCAGAAATAAATCCCAGCGCTTATCAGTTACACAAAGCTTCTTCACACATTACTACTGCCTCTCTTGTTTTTCATTTATTGATTTAATTTATCAGTCACGCAGACAGGTGCAATAAAGAAGTTCATGCCACACAGTGAATCAGCTTCAGATCTGAGATCAGAACTCAGAGCATCTTGTTTCCAAAGCTGGGGTTCAACGCTGTAGACAACGTTCCCTCTCAGTGAGTAAAACAAAATAGGAATTGCCTTGAAAAGTAGTGTTTCTGTAGTACCCTAGTGACAACACAGACCGTGAGTAACCATTTACCAGTGAGTAAGTACCCAAGGCACCCCTGACCTGTTAGGTAGGTCTCTTGGAGGAAATCTAGTCACAGCCTAAGCAGTCATAACCACCATGTTGTAGCTTGTTCTGATAAAGGCTTCCCATTTCCATCTATATACTTTATACTTAAAGAAAAGGAGAAGGCCTTGATTGATATGAAGAGATCAATAACTACCTGTTTAATGCAAAACTGTAATATATTTATGCAATGCTTAAGATATTTCATCATGTCTCTCTTTGTACAGAAAGGACTGTTCTGATCTAGGTGAGAGAAACGGATTCATAGATTAATGAATCTGGGAGGAAATTCACCTTATCCAGGGTGCAGGTCAAAGGAATTTCATCCTGTAATTCTTGCAAGGAGCACTTAGCTTGTGAGAATACTGTGATTACAGTGTTCTGGGGCAAAGTAAGTATTTCCGTGGTATTTTAATAAATCCATACAATAATAAGAAAGGATCATGACTAATGAGATAAAACAGTGTGGTACTCCTGTAAGAAACAGGCAATTATCTTGTCACTAGATGTACTGTGGAAGCCTGTGAGAATTTTGCCATTGCCTTCAAGGTAAAGGAATATTGTATCTGGTAATGTACAGAGCGCTCGAGTCCTCCTCTGAGGCCCACTGCGTCCAAGGATGCTCATCAAACACAGAATGCTCTAGACAAGTGCTTAACCCTGGTTGTAATCTCGTTTTAGCTGCTTGTAATAGACATCAGGTACAACTGTGGTAGGGATAAGAAATTACTAGGAGTAGGAAATCCAGGCTCAGTATAAACAGCAGCTTGGACTCTTCAACAACATCTATTCCAATTTCTAAAAGGCTGACGGCTTTTGCTTTTGCTCCAGAGAACAGAGTCACACATTTGCCTACAAATAAAGGCTAAAAATAGATATATAGTTAGAATTAACCTCCCGTGGATCTCTAGCCACACTGTGTTAAAATCCAGCATCCTAAGGTGTTCAGAAAAAATCTTCATTCTCTCCAGCTGTCCCTTTCTTAAAGGGCAGAAGACAAGGTAAACTGTGGGAAATAATTTATCTACCACTTGTCAGGGTGTAAAGGGAAGGTAGATACCCAGGCTTTTCTAGTACAAGTGTGATAGGAAATGTTTAATTTAATGAAGGTTTCTTGTAAAACAATGAGAATAATATCAAAAATAAGTGGGAAAACTAGAGTTTATGAGGTCTCCACCATCTATATGTCCAAGGTATCCGGGAAGGGTGAGGCCGAGGATGTGAGAACCGACCTCTGCTTTGTGCTTTTGCCAGGTGACCTGTAAATGAGTTTGGGTAACCTGTCTTTAGTCCTTCCTTCGGCACAGAAAAGAGAACTTACAGGTGAAGCAGGCATGTGTCCTGACTTGAAAGTTTTCCCTCTAGTAAAACTTCCCACTCAGCTAAATGGAAAAGTAATGAAAAACAGGAAGCTTAAAAAAAAATCCAGTATGACCCCATGGAATAATGAGCTAAATGGATTCTGTGTGCACTAAATACAGAATACACGAGTAATGAGTTGCTGAGTAAAGCAGTGGACTGCTATAGATTCTGGTTCAAAGATGGTTGCACTGGACTGTCAGATTGTCAATAATGTCTGTCATTGCACACGCTGTCATAATATTTCAGGTGATGGGTATTTTTCATTTGGTTGTGTTTGGCAGGAATGGGGACGTGCAATTAAATATTTGAGACAGTTCCTTGTTGGAACTGCTCAATGGTGGGTGACGTTCTGACTCCACCCTCAAACTTGCAAATAATGAAGGTATAGTGGCAGATTAAGAAGTGACGTTTCTACTCTCCAACTCATTATATTTTGCCTCTCCTCTCTTCTCCTTCTCCTTGTTATGCTGTAAGCAGATCATTTTGATATCCTTACAAACACCTCTACTGGTGAGAGCGAGCGATGAAATACAGCAGACAGGGACCCAAGGAATTTATCATTGCCTGTGGTGAGTAGCAGTCCTTTAAAGCACAGTTGTAAGATATATTGCCCTAAAGGACTGCTACTCACCACAGGCAATGATAAATTGCTTAAGCCTATGAGTGAAAACAAATGGAACCTTAGGCCAAAAAAATCCACACTTTCATGTGCGGGAGAGTTCAGCCTCCAGCAGAGGACTTCAAAAATCCCTGGAAAATGGCATTTTCTTTTGTGAAGTCAGGAAGGACTAAGTCATCATAGGTTACTCCTAAGGAGGAGACCATAGCTATGGTCTTAGCAATGGAAAGAAGCCATGGATGTAATTAGGAAGCGTCCTGCTGAAAACTGCAGCTCAGTGGGCAGATGTCCAAACAAAACCTTTAATTTTTCACTCCTGAGTAAATGCAGGCAGGATCATCTATTTCACTTGTAGAGCAGAAGTAACAGAACTGCAGGATTTGACTCCAGCAAGCGTTAGTGATGTAAAGAATAATGATGCTGGTTCCACCACAGCTCAAGCTTAAATAAAAACTGCCAGATTTGAGAAATAATGCAAAAAATCTGGGACCTGAACACTGTATTGCCCAGTGAGCTATCAGACTAATCTGCTGTCCCTGATCTTGGAAAATAAGATTTCCTTCATTAGCTGTGCCTGGAGGTTAATTCATTCATGCTCTTACCCCTTGATGGTTTTTATTACTTTACTCTTTCTTCCATTCCAAATGTTGAAAGCATAAAATTGAAGAGAAAGAAAAAGGAAATATTAAACCACCTCAATATTCAAACAAAATCACTACAGGTTTTACTGCAATACTTCATAAACGTGGGATTTTTTTTCACCAATACTTCAAATGCAACTACACAACAGCATTTCCATCAATCATACTTAGAAGCAAATTTCTTCCAAACTTTTCCATATTTCCCTTGCAAAAGGATTTGACAACATGACTCTATACAACTTTGCTGTAGGCTATGACGCATGCACAGAAAATGAATCAGATTAGCAGTTTGCTTTTTTCTCTCCTCACAGTTGTTTTGCCACTGTGTTATTAACAGTGCTAAATGAAAACACTGCTAAAGTCAAAACACCAAAATGTGGTGGAGTGGAAAGACATATTTATTCCCATATGCGAAGGGTAAGACCTTTACAACTCATCATAGCTTTGCAGTCATTTGAGTTATAGGTCTTGCCTCTCGCTGGTAAGGACAGATGATGCATCATCCCTCAGCAACCTATTACACACTCAGTTTCTATCATACACTCACTCTGTTCCCCTTCAGCACACTCCACCGTGGCACAAATGCTCAGGACAAATGAATCTGCAGAGGCCCACGGTTTCAACCTTTTTACAGCATGCTAATTAACTACTTGTAATTACAGTGGCAGGTAGTACATCACATAGAGGGAACTGGCAGTCTCTCTAGGATATAAAAGGAACACTGAGATTTTTTTCAACAGCAAGTTTAGCTAAGAATTCTGCCTCATGGATGAGGAATAAAATGTAGGGATTGAAATCTTATAAGGATGCTCAGCGTTTCTCATCGGTCTGACAATGTGAAAAGCTGCCTCATGTGTGTTTAGGAGGTTATTTAACAGTGGTTTTTTTTTAAAGATGTGAAAACACATAGGTGAAAAAATACATGGTATGGTTTAAATATAGCAGGAAAGGTACCTTGGTTTGTATGGAATGAGAAGAAGTTATCAGACACGGGACTGAACCCACAATCAAATTCAAGTTTACCAAGAGCCAGAGAGCACGGACATCAGCTCACTCTAAGTTACAGCGCTCAGGTGAGCTTTGTGGTAGGTTCCAAAGAGTGAGCAGAGCACGGCTACAAGCACACACCTATTTCCTAGAGTGGATGGGGGAGCTGGCGTGTTCCGCTTCACTAGGCCATGCTGTGTGGCATCCGGCTGCTTCTGTGTATCCCATCTGGGCATGAGATTACAACAGATGGCCAGAAGAGGGGAAAAAAATAAAAAGCAAGCTGATCGGGATACTGCAGAGAAAGGCTGCAATGTCACTCGCCACAACAGCGGACAGGCTTGTTGGCAGCCAGAGCTCAGATGTACTTATGAAACAAGGCTATTAGAGTAAGTCACAGCCGTCTTGTAAGAGGATCCACAGAGCAAGCCAGGAAAATAAAGCCTGCTTCGTAGCTGAAGGCCTAAAAGCCATCGAAGATGTCGCCTCTTCAAATCTTATTCTGTCCTCACCTCTCTACAAACTTTAAATGAGATAGGAGTTGTCTCCTTGCCATACCTCACAGGCTGTTCAACTGTGGTGCAAATAAATGAAAATGTTCATCACTCAGGAGCGGAGATGCTGGACAAGGTGTGAAGCATAGCAGCAATGGCTCAGGTAGTAAGCGAAGGTAAAGGTGCTACAGAGCTCAGTATCCTGATGGGGTCTGCTTTTATCGTGGATGAGATAAGAGTTTGAAGATCATGATATCACCCAGAGCCTCCCAAATGGTATTCAACAGTAACTATAGTAACCCTCTAAAGAGAGAATGAGAAATAACTCTGATAGCAATATCTGGTAAATTTGTTTAAAAACATATTTATTATTCAAGCTATTTCTATACCTAGACATAGGTTCTTTCAGCACCTTTTTCCCTTCAAACATCCTCTTGACAGAAAGCTCTTGAAATTCCCTTTCTACGTATATGAATTATGATGCCTAAATGAAACCATTCCCATGAATGACAAGACTTTGTTTTATGCTGCAGCGACACATGTTTAATAAGGCTGTTGATGTAACAGATGAGACAACTGCATTAGCTTGGGAAATGGCTTTAGATCTTGCACATGGCAGCACTGACCTTCATTCCACCCAGCGATGATCTGCTGTCTCAGAAACTGAACTCACCGGCTCTCTGGGTTAGTCAGGGCCAAGCTCTGGTCCTGGGTGACATTTCTTCCATCTGAGAGCAGAGAAGAATGTATTGTTGGTTCCAGGAATTGTTGACGGGAGCTGCTCGGTTCAGGAGTGACTGCCAGGCCTCTAAAATGATACAAAAAGAAAAGAAAGTGCTTGTTAAATTGATTTACATAGTGTGATAGCAATAATGAGTGCTCGGTGAGTTCACAAGACCTGTTTGGATGGAGGGAAGCGTTATCTCCAGTGGGAAAGAAGCAGCAGTGAGAAGTTGGGGGTAGTAATCCAGGCTCCGTTTATAGCCAATAGAGAGGAACAGTCACAGCTACAGCATGAATAAACTCAAGATTAAATAGATTAGACATCTAGTCTAATCTACTAGCAGGCTGGATGAATCACTCTCCAGTAAAACAGAGCAATGTAGGGCAACTCGTTCAGATAAAGATGTTTTACTTACAGACATCCAAAACTGGGAGATTAACTCACAAGGTGTGAAGTTTCATCTTCAGGGCCGTTCATAACAGCTAAAAAAAAAACCCCATTCCTGCAATATTGGCACCACTTCATTTATAGACTCAAACCACAGAGCTAAACCCAAAGAGATGCAGCACCGAAGGCTGCCGAACATGAGAGGTCCTTAACGAAATGCTGAACTTCAGATTATAACTCTTGGCAGATTCCACACATCCATCCCCTGTACTGGAGCCACCCCACTGACACACCTCAACTGAACTCTGAAGGAATCTGTTTAAGGACAACAAGTCCATGTAATTTTTACATGTGCCATTTTCTGGTTTCCCTAGGAAGCTTCTCAAGAACATTTGTAACTGCAGAATTTGCAGTTAAAACATTTGCAACTGCTGAATGCTTGCTCCGTGGGAGAAGCTAGGCTTTTAAAGAGGGTTAATATCTTTTCTGAAGATTCACTGTTACAGTTTGGAAAAAAACCCCAAACTGCTGAGTTCTTCATCAATCCCTCCATCATGCCCATAGGCCATTATAGCAACAAGTATACCACTGCCACTTTCCCACGGGAAACAGAGAGGCTGGAATCTCAAACTTTTCATTCCTCCTCATCCTGCCACAGCAGGACTGTGCCCTGCTGTGGGTCTTCTGGTGCTTCAGTGATGAGGCTTTCCCCACTCCTCCTCAGAAATCAGTCCCTAGCCCAATACGCTGCATTGCAAGCAAAGTTTTTCTATTCTTCATCTTTAAATTTCCCTTTCTTGAGTTTCTTCTTCTTATTAATACCTATAAATAAAGCTTCCCTAGTGTAAGGCCTCAAGCTGTTGTTTCTCTGTCAAACAACTGCTGGCTGGTAATGGTGTTTGTTCTTTATCAGCTCAGATCAAAATCTGAACCAACTACACTGGAGAAAGGGCCTGGTTCCATTAATGGCCCCCAGAGCTGAGTGCTCTCAGAAATCATTTTTTGTAAATCCACATCATGGAAACAAATAAATAAAGAAAGAATAAAAGAAAACTTCTCACCAAAGAACTCTGCTCAATATATAGAGCAGAAATACAGAGCCTGACAATGGAGGTTCTAAGAGTCAAAGCAGGAATCTGAAGACAGGATTCAAGGACACCCCTCTAAGGACTGGGTTACCTCAGGAAAATGAACTCTGCTTCCTGGAGCAAAGGTTTGGGTTCAGAACCTTCAACCCAGGCTCAGAAGCTTCATCTCAGTTGATAAGTTAACCAACATGCCTGACAGCTCAGAAAAACTATGCATAGTTAAAGATGTTATAGGGATGTCTTTTCACCTTCCGTCTCTGCACTAGATGTCTCCTCTCAAGTTTTGTCATTATAGGTGTTTAAGCTCGGAGTGTAATTCAAATTACACCAGGATGCCTCAGCTCAAAATCAAAAAAAAAAAAAAAAAAAAAAGGAAAACAGGCTGAAGAAGTTAAATAGCACCCTGTGAAAAGGCATATCCATGTAGTTCAGAACAACGTCCTAGTTTTGTCACTGAGAGGGGCACAGAATTAAAACTGAAAAGCAAAATTACATTGAAGTCTGAGGTTGACTAGACAAGGGGGTCTGCAAGACAGGAACACAACCACATGCATGCAAATCCTGTGCTCACAGCAAGCAAATCCAACCTGAAGAGAGGGTCTCAACCAGAGGGAGACCACGGACCTTCTCTCCTTCCAGTTCTGGCAAGGAGCTCCAGTGAAACTCTAAAGTGTATGAATTTCTTCCAACTCAGCAAAGCAAAACTGCATGTTATAAATTCTCCTCTCAGTGATGCCTGCTCTTGCTTACTCCAGTTCTTTCAGCAACATTTAGACAAAACCAAGAAGTTAATCATTAGCTAAAGGCCTGATCTGAATGAGACTTCAACCCAACCCCTTATTTATTACCCTCAAACACACAGACAACTAGGGAAATTATGCAGAGCAAACCACCAAACGTTGCTTGTACATTATATTAGGCAATGAGACATCAAAATGACTTTAATTATACCTGCACACAGCCATAGGCAAAAAATAAAGAGGCCAGGTTTTCAGTAATTTGGATTTAAGAATCTAAATTTATGTGGATAACCCTGCGGGGCTGCAATAAATAAAATAGGTTAGATTCTTGTGTGACACCACTTTTAAAATTTTCAAACACATACTCAGGAAAATTGAGCTATAGATTTCAGTTTGGATTAAAGTGTGTAATGATGAGATTAAGCATTAAAGAATCTTTTAATATTTACAGATACACAAGAAATTCAAAACAGCTAGTAGTACCTTAGGAACTTTTTTTTTTTTTTCATTTTTGGCATCAGTTTCATATATTTGATAGACTTTAGATCCACTCCTACCTGAAGTAGGGTTCTCTGCAGCTGTGCTGCTCAAAAGCAAGCTGAGCTGCCTCTGCCCTCTGCCATTTCTGGTCCACAGCCCCTTATTTACACTCTCAGTCCTCTTTCAGCATGATGCCAGCACAGGTGGTTCTTCAGAGCGTAGGGGAAGTTTATCTGGCTGAAAAAAATCAATCTTTTTGTTTGGCAAAACCTGATCTGTACCTTTACCCAACTCATCACTAAGCTGTATGACATTGGAGCCAGTGGCAGCACAGAGCGGGCAGTGGAAGAAAAGGAAGGGGTGGGTTGGGTGTGAGCCAGCACTGCCACTGAAGAAACACAAAAATTACTGAATTCTTCCTCATTGTGTGACAAAAAACGGCTCAACAGAAAAAAGTCTACTTTGTATTGATGGCCCTTTTCAACCCCAGAAATCGGGATAGAAATCCTCAAATAAAACACTGCTTTAATGGAGCTACTCATATAGTTTATACCATTAAAATGTAGACTGACAGCTAAAAAAAGAAACCCCATATCTTTGAGTAAGACATTGTAGAAACTTCTAGCTAATCATATTGGTATTTCTATGTGCTAAAAATATACATAATCAGTTACCTGCATACTTCACAAATTTGTTCTTTTTAAATTATAATCACCTACTTTTTCAAGTACTTGTCTTATTTTGCTTCAGGTTACCTGCAATGCCCTCAGAAGAAAACTTTATTCTAAAACAACTCCATTGAGTATGGCAAGCATGGACTTTCCTCTTGAATATCCCAATACAATTTGAAATTAATCTGCTTTAATGAACTTCCTCCTCTCTATCTGCCCCGATTTGCTCCACAATGTCATCTCCCCATGGGTAGAACAAAATGCATGTTCGCTTCTCCCAGTCACAAGTCCATACCTTCTCCAGTCAATTCAAACTCCAGTGGATGTTCAGGGTAAAAATGAGGTTTTATATTGGAGTATCTGAAGCAGGGGTGAGTATTTTTTTCTCTTTGCTCTTCTAGAGGAGCAGTATTCCCCCAGCCAGGAGTGCTATGGTAGCAAGCTTACTACATCAAGATTCATCAGCTGAAGCCTTGTATAAGGCCCTGATATGTTACCAGTGAAAAAAAAATAATCATATTTTTCATAAACAGCAGACTGATTAAGTGGACAAAGGACAAAGTACATTTACACACTGCTGCTGACAATGAAAATAAAGAAAAGGCACATCATGTTCTAAATAAAAATTCATCACAACAAAGTTGGTAAGATTAAAGAATAGACAGCAAGATTTATTTTTTTTAAAAAACAGATTCTAAACAGGCATGGCCTATCCTATTTATGTAGCCAAGTAAAAATAGAAATAAACCCCTCCAAATCAAATACAGCTTGAAAGAAAATAAAACATGGGTATTCCATAGGAGAGAGAAATCTGGGAAGCACTGAAGCTGAGATGGATCTAGACATAATGATGAGATGAGATGTCTAACCTGGATTTCTAATGCAAGATGTCTGCATGACAAGATGAGTGCAATTTTTGAGCAACTTATGTGGAGACAATGAGTACTGTTCCTCAAATGCAGGCGAGTCTGTCTTCTTTGCCAGCACTTGCTGTAGGGACACCTGAAATACTTGGGATTGGTCAATTTTGAGAGTTACAAATTAGAATTTATAGTAATTTACTAAATTATTTTACTAAATAATTTATTAAATATAGTAATTTACTGTAATTTACTCAATAATTTACTAAAAATCTACTGAATTTACTAAGCACAGACTTACAGAGAAAGATGAAAAGACATGACAAGATGTAAATAAGAACCATAGAAAGACATTAAACATGATAATAGTCTAACTACCTCAAAATTATTTGGATGATGCTGCTAATATTGCTACGACTAATGAAATAATGGATTACCATGTGTCAGCTGAGCCACACAATCTGTGTACAAATTCCTTGCTTAGCTCTTGAGAAAAGCTAAAGAGAGCCCCATCACCTTACATTTCCTATGGGCTAGGAGTGTCCACAAAGATGGGTTACCACAGCTAAGATGACATGCAATAACCTTTTAAGCTGCTCACAACCCAGGTCCATGGTTATATACTGAAAGTAAGATCCATCAAACCCTAGGTGAGCTTTTCCAAGGTGAAAGCCCCTCTCTTGTGGGTATTTAAGACTTCATTCAATTTTGTGTGAACAAACATGCCCAATAGAACCACCATAAATTTGCTGCTGGACTGGACTACATGACCTACCAGGTTCTCTGCTATCTAATTGCTACATGCCAGGATTTAGAGTCTCTCTCAGAATTTCAACCATTTTATAGCATTCATATTTACGCACCTCTTGACTTAACCTCTCGCGTGCAATGGGGTGTTGTCTACTCTTGCCTCCAACTCTGCTGAGTGCACCTATTCCTTGAGGCCTGGTAATTGCAAATGCTGATTGGGGTGACAGGATTTTCTCTCACCTGGCTGACAGCTCTGCCAAAGCAGTCAGGTACTTAACTCCAAAATCAGCTTCCAGCAAAGGAGTATCGTGGAGTAAAGGGAGCAAGAGCAACAAACTATGGCAGGCTCAGATGAACAGTTTACACTGCAACACTAAATCAAACCCAAAACATCTAGCAAAAGAAAACACCGATTTCCATTTTTCTTCTCATTTCAGCATGATTTAAAATGAATCAATCAGCTACTTAAATAAAAAACTTTTCTCTAAGTAAGGATTTGGAAGACGCATCATAATGATGCATCTCTGCCAGTAAGCTTCTGCCACTGGTTCCTAGAGACAGTTTAATGCACTAGGCTTCTGTGGTTTGTTTTTTTTTTCTTCTTTCTTTTTTTTTCTTAAGCAGTCAATCTCCAGACCTTGTCATTGGAATGATTTTCATCAACACATCCGGTATGTACAATTGGTGACTGCATTTGTACAGGCCTGAATGAGCTGAAAGGTGTGAACTTTTCTATTCCTTCTGATGATTGCTGATTTAGAGGCCTGTGTGATCCTTTGTCAACACTGTGAGCCTTTTCATGGCAGGTAGGAAAAGCAAGAAAAGAAAAATTCAGATTAGGAATACTTATACCAGGGGAAGGCAGGAGTGCCACAAAAGATCAATCAAAGAAGGTACATTGAGATTCATAGACTTTTAACATAATTTTTGCAGGGCTGTGACCATAAGGAAGAAGGGAGAGAGTCAGACAAGATAGGATCCGTTTTCTAAAAAAATAATTTAAAAAATAAAATTAGGAAGTTGAATCAGCTTTCAGAAATTCTACTTTAAACAGAGATACCACAGAAGAGGTACTGTAGCAAACAACCCGGCACTGAGCACGGCTGTGACTTTCCAACACTAATTACTAGTTAAAAACGCCACAGACTGTGAGCTGCCAGAAAAAAATGATCCTTTTCTTCTCTCTCGGAGAAGACACATATAATAATTTCATAGTTTTAGACAAGTTACTTGTGGATGGCTCTGCCTTGTACATTTTCAGTATACATTTCAGGACTGCTGCACTGCCAAGTCAAAAGCCAGGCGATGTGTGATATATTTGTAGGGCTGGATTTAAAAGTAACAGAAAGGCGAGTTGTCTACGAGATTTGCAATTGCTGACAGTTTCTAATCATTCATCCTTAAAGGCACTGGAGAAGAAATGTTAAACAGGCATTTTTCATTTTATTGCGAAGGACTTGCCTGAAACCACTCTGTATTACCTTTGGAAAAGCTGGACAGATGCACTAGGTGCCTTCCCCGACAGAGCCTGGCGCACTGCAGCACGACGCCTTTGGAGAGAAGCTTCTTCCTGATAAAGAAATATGACCAACTTTATACAGCAACTTAAAAGTATATATGGTAACTTAATTGGCTGTGATATTCCTCTCTTTTGCTAAGCCTCTAGAGGGTATGCATTTATGTATTCGGGGAAAATAGCAGAGCTGTATTGTAACTTATAACAAGGTGCTACATTTGATTCACTGATCTGCACAAACCAAGTTTTAGTCTGAAATCTTACTGGCTTTGAAAAATGAAGATCTTCATCTCCAGTGAAGCTCCATTTCTTCAGAGTAGACAAAATGTGCCAGGATGTAGCAGGAAGGAATATCTGCAGAGAACCACTTTTGATGCATCCTGACCTCCCTAATATGTTAGAGCGGGGATAATCCTAGCTGTGCTGTTGCCTTAAGTTTCTTTTCACCAGCAAGGGGCTGAATACAGAGAATTTGCCTCTGCTACATCTTAAATCCACTGTCTCCTTGCTCCAGCAATGCAGAACACCTGCCTTACCAACTCTCTATCGACTCATATTCCCCTCTTAAAGAATTACCTTTTGCAAATATCAGTTAGTTAAAATGACTTTGTAGAATGAACACATTATGATCTCAGTGGACTGGAAAATGTGGTCCTGAGTTTTAAGGGCATGTTAATTAACATGTGCTGTAGGACAAGGTAATTTCTCAGGTCAGACAAATGCAGCACTACAGTGTGCTTAAAAAAAAAAAGTAAATCATAAAGTTACTAAATCCTGCTTTGTTATCAACTGTTAGCCATTGACAGTTATCAATTTAATAGCTAAATCACATGCCTGTAACAGAGGTGTTTTGTCATGGTATGAGCGATGAAAGAGAATCCAGTTAAATCTGCTGAATGCTGGCATTATGATTATTGTGAATTCTTCGACTATTTATGCTAGGTAAGGCTCTTAGAAGATGGCTGAGCTTGTGTTTTGTTTTTTTCTCTTTTAGTAAAGATATAATTCTGGCCTTTTTTTTCCTCTGTGTGGATTACTGGTATAGATACTTTTCTGTTCATACCTTGTACAGTTAATTAGAGCCATAAAAAAATTAGTGCAGGGTTGGCATGCTCACAAGGGATAAGGCTGCAAGGAATCAGACCTACTGTCTTTCCCTGAGCAGCAGACCCTTCTTCTTATTTTGCTTGTGGATAATTCACACCAATTTCTTCATGTTTTTTATTTTCCAGTTCTACGTGATGGGAGCGGAATGTGGTTACTGCAGTGACAACCCATTATTTGGATGCCAAAAGCACAAAACCCATTTGCAGTCCCAAATGTAACAGTTTAGACAAAATTTTACTTTAAGGCCACAGACATATTTATATTCTTCTCATTAAATATGGTCTAAGAGGCACCTGTGTTTCACCTTGAACGTTTTACAATGTTGACACTTCAGCTGATGCTGTAAAGCTTCTCCTGAATGTAAAAATATATTGGAAACTTAGTGCAGTAAATAACGAAAAGGCATTACCAGCAGCGAACAAGGAGACTAATGAGAAAGAGAGCCTTGTGGCCACTAAGTTAGTTAAACTCAAGATAAATTATAGTCTCCTTCATCAGAAACCACTTCTCCCTGACTTGACAAAATATAAACTTTCAAAGTAAAAATAAAAAAAAGAGAAAAATAAATTGCTGGGGTAGGAGCAATGACAGGGTGCCACCAAGGTAAGAAATATTCTGGCTTCCCTCTCCCATTAGACTAAGAAGCCTTTGGATGAAAGAAACATGTAAATGAACAATACTTTTGACATTTTTTTTTTGTATTTTGCATGGCTTGTATAAAGGTAATTAATTTCAGAAAACTGAAAGATGGGAGGTTCCCTATTTATGCCAGCCATTTTACAAACATACCTTTTTCCACACCTAAGAGAGCATTTTTTAAAGCCTGGGAAACGGGGGCAGGGGGGTCTGTTACTTTTCTCCATCTGCAGCAGTAATTCTAAACATCAGAGGTAGTTATAAATACAGCGATAGTGGCAAAATTGTACAGCAAGTCATGCCTGCCAAGCCATCATTCATCATAATGACATCATAACCCTGGAATGGAACAAAGTTTAAAGCTTTCATTTTTCTTTTTCTCTTTCTCCTGTCGTTGTCGTATAAAAAGAGAATTAGACACATCTGCTTCAGAGCCCCAACTCCCCCACTGCCTGCAAGGAGAATGAATGCCTTTAGGGAAAGGACTATTAAGGAGAAGTAAAAAAAGAAAGAGAGATGAAGCTGAAGTTGCAAGAGGTTATTTGAAATCCAAGCACATTGTTGAATTTGTTGATTGAAAAAGTAAAAGCAGGTGAAAAATGTGCTTAAATGTGATCTCTGGCAGTTATCACTAGCATAGACTCTGAAAGGCTCGGCTGAATGAGTTTTTTCCACTGCCACAGGATGGCGTTCATAAGTAATCTTCATTGTCCTATTAATTGCAGCTATCTATTTACACTGAATAGGCTCGTTTCATATCTTGTTGAACTGAGAGATGAGATTCAGCTTCCTTACACCATTACACAAATGGATGAAATCAATTAGGGTCAACAGATTTATTCTGGTGTAAAACTGAGCAGAAATGATTGGTCCTCTCTTCTGAGTTTACCTGTCTCATTATCATCAATCTGCTTTTAATTCTGGAGAACTAGTAAATATTGTTGAAAGGTGGCCAGAGAACAGGTGTCAATTTTCGTTGGAGGAATAAAGGTCTAACATGCATTTTTGGGCATACAACTTATCATTTCTGTCTAAGCTTAGAATAGATGCTGCTTACCACAGAGCTCACTTGTGCAGCAAGTTTGTCCGAGAAGCTTCCTGGATAGTTTTTAGCAGAAGAGTCCCAGAACTCACTGACAGATGAAGACTGAGTAGTTCCAGTAATTACTCCACCAGGTGACAATCTTTGCTCTTGTAAGAGCCATGTTCTTGAACCTAGTATGGAAAAGATGCTTCTCAACAAAAATACTCTGAACACCACTTTGCTTACAGCAAGCAGAAAGAAAATCGTCACTTGCAACAACCATCTTTTGGCACAGTTCTGGATTCACAAATGATAACTGCAGGAGTTGTAAAGGACATAAGCTATGCAGTTCCCCAAAAGCTTGTAAACCTTCCAAGTACTTCGCAGATATAACAAATTTATCCCCCCCTGAATAGTTAGGCAAATGAAAGTTATGAAAAATATAAAAAAACCCACCCCTACGTTAATGGACTGGGAAGAGGTGCTTAACTCTGTGTAAATGAGCTCGTTTTATTACGGATGCTCGGATATTGCACCACTGTTATGACTGCTAAACTAATTACAGTCTACCTACTTAGCAGCTTTAACCTTCTCAGAGCTCTCAGAATGTGATGGGGAGTTGGAGCAGGACACCTTTTCTTCTGTTATTTATCTGAATTTCTGTGAACAGAAATCCAAAGACTTGTACCACCGCTGTATTGCAAGGATCCACACATGAACACGAGTCAGAAAACTTACTTTTAAAGAACCCTTAAAATTCAAATTTGAAAAAAAATCTGTAAGCTGGGATTTATCCTGTCTATAAAATGGTAAGTAAATATTAAATTAAAACAGAAAAATTATTTTAAAAATTGGGACATGACAGTCTGCAGAAATCTCATCGTAAGAAAGGTGTTGTGTGCCATATCAAAGCACGAGAGCTCACAACCTAAGAACTCACATACAAAAGTGGTGGATGAAAGGCAGAGACATCTCATCCATATGCATATTCATATATTAAATATGGATATACGTGGTGATAAAGGCATTAATATATGCCTTTATAAAAAAGTTTCAACAGTTAACAGGTGACTTTCAGCACAGCCTTTATGTACTGCTGGTCTGTAGCTGCCAGAAGATCTGATGCTAAGAACAGAGGAGATGAGACTTGAGATTGGTGGGTTCTGTTTCAGGCACAGTAAACTATTCACTTCAACACTGAGTAAGTAGTAGAGCCTAACCTTCAGAGGTACAGAGCCTCTCAGTGCCAAAACTTCAGTGGGATTTCTGGTGCCCATCATCACATATTATAAATCTTTCACATAAATGTCCCTTTCCTCATTTGTAAAATACAAATACCCACACATACTCCACAGGACTGCTGTGAGATATAATTAATAGCTGTAAAGTACTGAGTTCCATGGATGAAAGCTGCTAATGCAAGTACAAAGCATTATCAGCTCTGAAATGTATTGTACTCCTGCTATAAAAAGTTTTTTAAAAGAAGAACTTATCTATTTTCTCCCAGTATTTTTACTCTATATAGGAGCAAAAGATCTTGCACAGCAGTTCATTAAAAAAAGAATTAACAACCTATCATAATCTCACACAACCAATCTTCCCCCTGCTACTATCTTCCTAAAAATGTCCATATTAAAGACAACCTTGGGGCAAGTTTTTTAAAATAAATTATTTCACACAGTCCATAAGAAGAGATGATCTCTAGAAATAGGATAGTTAAATTTATTTAAACACCTATAAATGAAGCTCTAAATGAATTTAATGGTGCACAGTAAATTTAAAAGTTACTTTATGGACAGCAGAATTACCAAAATCTAGTACTACTAATGAAGTTTCTGTTACTAGTGACAAGCCACTCACTGAAAGAACTCAGACCTGCTGAGGAATACAAAGTCCTTTAAAGGAATTTCAGATATATATGTATATATCTTCACAAATACCATGATTATATACAAATCTTTTATCTTTAATCCTCTCCCTTTTTCTTCTTTCCTGATAATCTAGTTAGGGTTTGATGGATTTTTTTTGCCTCTCAGGTCAAAATGTCTTCAGTGGTTTTAAGACAAAAAAGCAACAATATTATAGAGTAAAAAAGGCAAGGAAGTATTCTTTCTCGCTTCAAACAAACATGGAAGCTCTGCAAGGGAAAATAAAATCTACATAGTTTAAGATTAACCAAGATTCTTCAGAAAGGTTCTCACTGCTGTAGCCCTGAGACGCTACAATACGTGTAGAAGCTTTTTTCTTGTCCACTGGGAAATCAGTATTTATTAATTCTTTCAGGATACAAAATTACTTGAAATGATGAACTGATGAATTTTACACTATCCTTCATTAACATTTTCAGATATCTTTGCTCTCCCTTCAGCTACTTTTATTTGCAGCCTTCTGAGCCACACACAAGGTCATGAATATTGGCGCTGTGTTACTTAGGAAACTCATTAACCCTCCTGTTGTAACGCATCTAGCCAAGACAGCCATAAACCATGGAGGCTTCGGAGTTAGAAGGAAGAGTTCACATAAATTAGTTTTTTGCTAGTCTGTGTTGCGCAACATCATACTACCATAATGTCTGTTTCTTATTTCTTTTTCTCTAGTATTTTAAAGATTATATTCTGCTTTCATACCACTGGTAACCTGCTCTGTCTGGAATAAATCCAAGAGTTGAAGGTTCTCCAATGTGTTAAGATAACCTTAGTTATGCTGCCTCTGTCAAGAGTAGTTCTCCCTTCTTCCTCCACAGGCAGCCATGAAGCTCTTCTCCCACACCCTTCCCTCCCTGAACCGATTCTACAGTTGCATGATGAGTTTGATCAAGGAATTGATCTGTCTGAAAGCTGTTTGGTTTTGGTTTTTTTTTTCTGGGTTATTTTTTGGATGGAACCATTCCCTGATCCAGATGAGACATGACTTCACAGAGAAATAAGAACAAGGGGGAAACTAGAAACGCATAGGCAGGAGAGGTAAATTGGGCATGACCACTTTTTGCAGCAGCATACACTTGGATTAGCTGGAAGTGATCATGAGGGTCCAGCCTCAGTCAGTCAGACACTAAAAGGCTTCTCTTAAACACACTACCAATCAGTTGGGTTTACCCTGCAGTGGGTAGCCCCAAAAGCACTTGGAGTGAATTTATAAGTTGCCTTCCCTCATCTTACTGTTCTGGTTTTCATATATCTCTTTGTGCTGCTGGCTATCCTGGGGAAGAGAGGGAAGTAAGGGCTCAGTGCCATGCCATTTTCTCATGGCTCAACACTTTGATAGGCACAAAGTTCTCAGCCACGGACATGTATCATGCTTGTGATTCCTCTGGAATGAACGGGAGATCCTCAGCCCAAAAGCATCCGCAGAACAGTCAGGCAACTCACTTTCTGCATATTATTGCCTCAGGGCACACAGTGATGTAAAGTACCTGGAAAGATCTCCATTAAAAATTCTGATCCCAGGAAGGAATGGGCCCGGGAGACCCATTTAAAGAAGCACACAGAGTTTTCAGAGACAAGGAGTCTCACAGGTTGCGTCATTCACAGATTTCAAATATTCTAACAAATAAGTAGAAATACTCTACTGATAAAACCAGTAGTAGCATGTGCCCAGACACAGTACCTGCTCCTGCTCTGCTCCTCAAGTCCTGAATGCTGTCAAAAACTGCAGGTGGCTCCAAACCCAGGTATGCCTTTACCAGGGAACTCAGCTCTGTGAATGCCTCATCCGAGTCATCTGCAGAAAGGGATGGATACTCGTGTCATGGCGGGGGGAGGAAGGATACATCATGAAAAAAACAAGCTTTCATCAGTATGAAGTTACAAATCACAGAAGTTTGACACAGAAATGCAGTCTTAACTCATCCAGCTTATTTCTTTGGGAGAAAAATCTTCATCTTCATAAATTTGAGAAAGTAATCTGGAATTCATCTCAGTTTCTGTACTCACCTAAATATTCTCCTGCAATTTGGTTTAGTGTGTTTTATTTCTTTAATGCTATATTTAAATTGCAAGCTTCGTATGCCCTTGACAATAACTACAAATACAGTATTTCCTACCACCATGATATATTCAACCATCACTGTGGTGAACCCCAAAAATCACCTCCAGAAAAGGGCAGGTACAGAACTAGAAAAGGATTCTTCTCTACCACCTCCTCACTTCTGAAATATCAAGAAGTAAACATTTGTCTTAATGAAATTGCTACCACCCTCGCACTCCTTGTTTCAGGCTGGGGGTCTTGAGCAAGTTACTAAGCAGAAGAGTCCTACAAGGAAAAGCTTTGCAGCAGCCTCTTCTCTGCAAGGAGATGTTGCCAGACTGCACATCGGCTGTCATTTCGACACTTGAAAAAAGCCTATCCGGCCCAGAGATAATTAGGTCTGTTAGATCAAAAGCACCTCTGAACTCTGCCCAGAAACCAACAGACAATTAGCACAGATCAGTTTAATACTCTCACAGGAGACAACACTTCACAAGTGTGCTGCTGAGTTTAACAGTTGGTTTGCTTTTGAGATGGGCTTAAAGCACAACTTGGACATAAGCAGAGTAATTCAGTCCTGACAGATCTCCAGAGCTTTTGGATTCCTAGGACAAGAATTAACTGGGAAAATCAAATAAAGGATAGTTTAAACTGTTAGGCTGAACATTAAACCATTTGTCATCCTTAGTTTAATAATATGGCTTTGTTTGCATGGCAGTTTCAGTCCATCTATTGACATTAAAAGTCAGATGTATAGTACAAAAGAGATTAATTTACCTGTGTTGACTACTGCATCAAAGTATCCTGGAAAATCCTGATTTATTTTGATGTACATGTTCACTCTGGAGACTGCCTCTTCAATCTCTGGCCTGCTGAATAATCCTTTCCTCCTTAGATGTCCCTCGTATTTTTCTTTGTTCATTGGTACTAACAGGATATATCTGGGTTTAAAGTAGGTATTTTTCAAGCTATGCACACCCTTTAAAATGAAGCAGAGAAACGCAACGTTTTGTTCCTGAAACTGAGTGCCTGTTGAACTTGTAGCTGAGTTTAGGACAACTCTGTATTTATCAGAAATTACTGTGAAAGCGATACTGGAAACGTGTCCAATCTACAGGTCTCAAGATGTAGCATCCGACTTTGCATAATAGGCAAGTTCAAGGTGAAGTGCCCTAAAGCCACATGTGAAAAGCCTTACAAGAACAGTGTAGCTTTATTCTAAACACACTTTTAAAAGAATCCTTTTAGTCACATTCCGCAGTGATTTAAAGCATCTCACTTCTCATCCCCACCAGCTAATGGCTTTTCCTTCTTTTCCACCCTTTCTGTTCCATCAGGACAGTTGTACAGTTGTTACTCTCAGTGTGTGTATCACTGACTCACACAATTGTACTGACACACAGAACTCACCTGCATCCCACCCTGGCCCTTAGCTTTCCACTACGAACAAACTCACAATTTTCTCCTCAGCTGGTATATTTTTTTAAGTGAAAGTGTGCAACTTCATCAAGATACAAGCATATTTATTTTGCTGGAGCAGCTTGCAATGTTACCCCCTCCCAAAACCGGGTATAACCACAACTCCCCAGCAGAGATGCAATGTTCAGACTGTCCATCTGTCACACTGTAGTCGGACAGCTTAACTTGAACCATTTTTATCAGCAATAAACTGTCTTGAATAGGACTTCTAATACAGCAGACTAGGAAATCTTTCCATGTGCCTTGCATCAACTCTGCTGTAAGGACAACGGCTCTGGCTGGCACTAGTTGACAGCTGAGGGCTGCAAACACACGTAATCATTTTGGCTAGATCTGAAAAAGGAGACCCATCTGCATGCAAGGACTTAAAGACAAGGTCTTATTAAATGATGCAGGCAATGGTACCAATCCCAGATTTTTGATAGCTCTCCTTTGCACCAACCCATACTTTGAAGAACCTTTTCTCTCTTTGAAGAACCTCCCACTCTATCTACATATAAACCAGAATACTGCAACCACATAGTCCTGTAATATAGTATTGCCATTGCCATAAGGTTTGTACTAAGTTTTCCAGATCTGAGGACTGAGGCATGTCTTGCTGGCTCTGAACTCTTCTTGACTGAGCTCTAAGTTTGTTTTACTTGGTTCAGCTGTGACAGCAATTTCTCTTGTTGACCAGGTGTCTACATCTAACTGTTTTATTTTTTCTTACTTTTGTGTGGTACAACCAGAGTTTTGTATGGATAGCACTAGCAAGCAGTTGCTCCAGTTAGAACGAGATGTTTATGATGTTTCTGACTCAACAGAATAACACAGCATAGATAAATACAGGCCTGACATGATAGCAAAGACCTCAGGAAGTGGAAACACAGGACACAACGTAGTCCTGCAGGCATGGGATGGTAAGAGATGGGTCACAGGCTTGACATTGGACACCTCACAACTATAAACATCTCAATAATGGTCAGTTAAAAAAAATGAAGGCCTGGAGCTGGACAAAGCTGGTTTTAGGGGCAACAAGAAGAAGTAGTGTGTAACACACCTAAAGGGCACCATATATAATGAATTCTTGTATCAGCAATAGCGTGGCCAGCAGGACTAGGGCAGTGATTGTCCCCCTGTACTGGGCACTGGTGAGGCTGCACCTCACATACCGGGTTAAGTTTTGGGCTCCTCACTACAGGAAAGACATTGAGGTGCTGGAGTGTGTTCAAAAAAGGGCAACGGAGCTGGTGCAGGGTCAAGAGCACAAACCTTATGAAGTGAGGTTGAGGGAACTGGGGTGGTTTAGCCTGGAGAAGACGAAGCTCAGGGGAGACCTCATCGCCCTCTACAAGTAACTGAAAAGAGGTTGTAGCCAGGTGGGGGTCAGGCTCTTCTCCCAAGTAACAAGCAATAGCACAAGAATAAATGGCCTCAAGTTGCACCAGGGGAGGTTTAGATTGGATATTAGGAGCAATTTCTTCTCCAAAAGGGTTGTCAAGCATTGGAACAGGCTGCCCAGGGAAGGGGTGGAGTCCCCATCCCTGGAGGTGTTTAAAAGACGTGTAGATGTGGCACTGGGGGACATGGGTTAGTGCTGGGCTTGGCAGTGTGAGGTTTATGATTGGACTTGATGATCTTAAATGTCTTTTCCAACCAAAATTATTCTATGATTCTATGAATTCATATGTAACCTGGAGCTGCAGACCAACAAAATAAGAGAAAGGTGTAAACATGTGTTAGCATACATATACAAATGACCCCAAGAGTATCCTGGGAGAAGAAAGAAGAAACTATCAACATGAATATCCTCCCAGCAAAGGGCTCAGATGTTGACAACTTGCTGTAACATCCTGCCCTTCCAATGACAACTCCAGAGGGAAACCACTGACCTTCGGACTGAAAGGAGCACTGAAAAGGTGAGCATGACACCAGCAAAACAGATAGAAACCAAGAAACTTGTATTACAATTTCAATTGTATTATTACTATTATTATTGCTGTTGTTATTGGGACTTTTTCAATATATAAGTACTCTAAATGCATTATTCCTTTTTTTTTCTGTAATAATTAGATGTAGGCTAATGATGATTCTTAAATTAGACAGTTTAAAATTCCAACAATAAATTATTGGCTTTACTTTTACATATGATCTCATATATATATATATATATATATATATATATAATATATATATATATATATATACAAGCATCTAAACCACAAGCAAAATCATGTAAAAAACAATAGTAGGCTGAACGCTCATTAGATTTTTTTTTTTCTTGGTTGTAGCATTCTAAGTATGGAACAGTACTTTAACCCATTCCAAAAATTTCAGGGAGTGATTCTGTGGAAAATTCTTTTCACTTTGGTGAAAAATAAAGGGGGGAATTTGGGGCACAGAAATCTTTGCATCTGGCTATTTGATCACCTACTTTCAGCTAGTAAATTATTCTAGCTAATAAAGTAAATTACAACAAGCTAATTATTTAGAGATTGGAAAACCAGCAGAAAGCAGACCCACATTCCAGCCTAGTAACACCTTCCTGACCTGAAGTTGCACCATCAATGGGTTTCTGATCAAGAAATGACTTAACTAATGATTCGTTTGTTCCAGAACTACGTAGGAATAGGAAGGCAGGCCATCAATAGTCTGGAATGAGCAGGGAAGATAAAAAAAGGGATACAGAAAGCTGCTGGTATGCCCAATAAATTTCTTGCAGAGAGACAACATGGATGAGTGGATCTCAAATATGATGCTCACTATGATGAGTGTCTTTGCATATAAGGAAAGTGACCTTAAAATTAAAAATGGGAGAATAGAGGAGCTGACAGCTTGAAACCAAAGATATATTTGGAAAATAATTAAAACAAAGGAGTAAAATTTGAGTTTCCTGAATTTTCATAGGAGGTCAAGAAAGATCAAAGGACTACCAGAGTTTAAGATATCCATTCATTTAACGTAACTAAACCACCTCAATTTGTTCAGTTACTAGCATGGGGTTACAGAAAAGATGTGACTAGTATCATATCCCACTTCCTTTGACTGCCCAGCCTGAACGACTGGATAACCAGTACCAAATGCAATAGGGAGTGGTCTTTGGCAGGAGACAAGGTGTATTAGATTTCTGGGAGCCTAATGACACACATCAGCCACTCGGGCACTCCACTCTTGGTTGGAATGTGCAGGTCCTTCAGTCGCTCTGCAGGTGTTGGTGGCTACACAGCCAAGGGGAAGGCACTGCAGATGTGCTTACTCCAACATTCCAATTACTCCAGTAACTGTGTGTCAGAATCCCAGCGGCTTCACTAACTGGAAATGCAGACTCGGCAAGATCTAACTTTTAAAATTTGTGTCAGTCTCCTTTATCAGTGAAAGATATACTCTCGATTAAAGGGAATGAACAGCTTTAAATTTTTAGTCTCAGCCCACAGACCATAATTAAAATTTCTTTTAATAGTGCTAAATCACTTTTGTTATGAGCCTCGCAGAAGATAATGGACTTTGATAACTTCTATTCAGATACATAACTCACCGTTATTGTTTCTCATCTGCCTGCAGAGTCTGTAGTGATACCAGACCATGCATAATTACTATGTGATCTTGCAACTTCAGTGACAAAGGAGTTTCTGCGCTATCTGTCCATGACAGTAGCTTCAGTAATACTCAGTAAAAGTTATAGTCACTGCCTATGTTGCCGGGTTAACCTCCTTATGAATAAACATGATATTATTTCTCCTAAATTATTTGATAACACATCTACTTTTTTTAAGAATTGACAGCTTTAAAAGGTACCTCTTTCCATCATATTTAATCTTATCCTATTTTTCTTCCCTCGTAAATTTAGGGTCTGTCTGGCAAGACAACAAACACACTCAATGCCTATCACAATCAGGGGAGACTGAAGGTGATTCACAGTTCTTACAAGACTGAGGCAAAAGAGGAAATGGAACTACACAGAGATTAAGTTATTAATTTGCTGTTTAATATCAGCCAAGTAACAAGCACTTAAGAGCAGGATCGCAGCATTAAATTCTTGACCATTTGAGCAAGGAGCTACTTATTTTTTAGCACTGACATGCTGTTACTCTGTTATTTGTACATTTATATGCAAGCCAGTAAATGTGTACAGATTTATTTGGGCCAAAGAGGACTAAAACTTCTTATGAACACTAAGGTTCTTAACTGAAAACTAGTTTTTCAATCATCAGCTTCACAAACAGAATAATAATTCTAAAGTTAATTAAATTTAGTATCAATTTTTGCTCAAGTCTCCCTAGTCATTCCACTAACTCTGGATCTACGACTTAGGATCCTACGTTAGCATTGCAATCTCCTACATCTCTTCTTTATATTTTTTTTAATTTTTTTTTTTTCCCCCCATCTATCATGGAGTGTAGTAGTTTCTGTTAACTTGTAGTAATCCCCCAGAGGTAGAGCTAAGCCCTACAAACAGGGTGAAACCCAGCAACACTCAGTATCACATTCCAGGCACTCTGTAGAGTCTCTCATTTTGGAAGCTCATACAGATGGAGCTTATTTTGTAGAAAGAATTTGGGAGGAGATGTAGCATGCCTTTTCTTTTTGTTACCTCAACCCCTAGCTGGTAAATCTTGATCTAAGTTAATGAAAAGTACATAATTAGAAAATTATCTAAAAAGTTATTCTTTTGGGATTCCAATAGATAAGTTTTTGACTCTTTGGTTGTGACCTACTTTCCTAACGCAGCATGACTTCTGAGACTCTGCCATCTGTGCTTGTGCACCTGACAAATCTCAGAGAGGGTTAAGTAATTCCTCAAAGAGATTCGCATCTTTTAATAGTTCTGCCCAAAATATTGCCTCAGGCCTGCACGCATTGTCCATTCCTTCACCAGCAGAGGAGAAACATGGCATTATTTCCAGGGTGATCGGTAGGTGTGCAGCTCTAGACCAGTCCCACTATAAGCTATAGATGGGTGGAAAGCACATGGTTGAAAAGCTGAGGGTACTATAATGGAAAGGACTGGTGATGTGGGGAGATGAGCCTGCTGAAGATTGACAAAAGTAGGCCAGGAAATTTTAAGAAGCCAGGAGAAGGATTCATCTGCCGAAATGTGGGTGTCTGTAAAGGGAGTGGCGTGGTTAACATATAGACAGTGGAGAGCTACTTGATCCAGGCAGTGGAGTTAAAAATGCAGTTCATCTGACCAAACTCTGTCTCCAGTGACTGTAATGCAGCCCACACAACCAGTTCAAATGGACCAGCAGCAGCTGTAGGCTGGGCAGAAGGTTGTAGGATGTCTCTTGTGTTACCAAGCAACTATGTCTAGGCAGCTGAAATAAACTTTAGCCAAACTGCAGGAATTCCTCCCCAGGACAGTTCTCCCAGAATGATTCATTCAAAAATGGTTAGGCAATAAGTGATCCTTACCTCTATTTCGAAGTGAACACAGGTTGCAAGACCCTCTCTGGCAATTGATTCTACAGTGTCTCTTCCAAGTCCATAGTAATAGCCACTGTATTTATAGGTTGCTATGAACTTCCCCTGAAATTCAAAACAGCGAGTATAATGACAAAGGAAATATTTTAAGGGAAACAACTTCCTTAAAGGAGCATAATCACTCTGGACTTTGTTGTTTTCTCTCCCTACAAAGTTTCTCCCTAAATCATCAGTGATAATGAGTCCAATGGGAGCACAGAATTATAAAGAACACAAGTCAGACCTGCAGGGTACAGGCTTGTACATTGTTCATGGACAATAAAACACCAGCATCTTGAAAACAAGCTGCTGACAGATTACAGCTTTCATCGGTTATTCATCCACACTGTAAAGAAACCAGGATCTAAAGCTAGGGGCATCCTTCTTTTGACATTACATCAAACCATATGGCCATGTCATGTAAAATAGAGGATGCCAAAGAAAAGAGAGGACAGAAACAAATCTGCAAGGAGAATGTATAATTGGCCAAGAAATTTCAAAGTTAAAACCTGACAACTGAAACTTTGATTCCCAGTAGGACATCTAGAGAGATGTAAGCAGATTATATTCTTTTAAAATTAGACTACTTGATAACTAAGAGTTATCATTAAGGAGCAGATCAGTTGCTTAAGACTGTGTTGGCTCCCCCATTTGTATATGTACAAATAATGAGCTCTGTTGTGGCTTTTCAAGCCAAAGTTTTATTGAAGGCAGCAAAAGGCATCAGAAACAGTAGCTGGAGGCACACTGTCTTCGGAGAGAAACACAGTGCCTTTAGGGTGAATTTGCTAAACTTTAAAAGACTGCTTTCCCTGCAGGGTTGCTGGAAGCTTTTGAAAAAAGGAAAGGAAAAAAAAAAGGATTAAAAAAAGATGGCAGCTTTTTCAAGAGTTTTTCTTTCCTGCACACACAGTAGACATCTGCATCCAGAAATAAGTTTATTTCTACATCATGTCGCTGTTTAAAGATTCCTACTGACCACTCATGGTTTCTATACGTTCATACAGATGAAAAGACAGCATAAATATAGAATGAATTTGTGGTTTGTGTCTGTGAACTTAAGCCACATAACTGTGGGTGAATAAGCATGCGCACACAGACACAAATATTAAAAAAAAAGAAAAAAATCAGACCTGGACAGAAAAGTTGAGTTCACTCTGGATGTAGGAAATAGGCTTACTAGGATACTAGTCAGGTACTTACTGTGTTCACCATTTTGTCAAATGCTTCTTGAGAAATGAAATAGTAATCAAGTCTGTTTTCTTCACCAAAGTAAGCTGCCCTGGTAGTGTGACAGGGACTGGAAGATATATGATATAATAAAGAAATAACCTGTTTTCAATCAGAGAAACAGCTACAGAATAGGAGGGGGGGAAAGGGAGAATAATACAAATCATTTTATTTTTAAGAAGATAAGAAATATGAGAAATATAAAGAGGTGCAAATCATACCACTAATGCCACATATTTGAAAGATTAACTCATAAATACAAAAAAAAAAAAAAGTTTAAATGTAACATTACATTTTGGCTATAAATCCCCCCCAGCACAGGATAGCCTGAACTGAAGCTGTCACAGCACCCTGTAATAGAGAAATGATGAAACCATTTTTTTTCCAGTTATGTCAGCTTGTGGATGATATAAAGTTAGAATCCTAAATATGGAAGAGGAGACTAGGAGTTAGGTTGAACTGTGAGGTTAAGAAAGAGATATAAAGACCAATCCTTAAATAGACCCCTAATAGTAAGGGGAGAAACAATCTTGGAACTAGGGAGATAAGTGGGATATAAGGCAGGAAAAGTAATTGCCTGACACCACATAAGAACAGGATAAACCTCAGATACATGAGCTTACTGCTAGGATGAAACACTAAAAAAACAAACCAAATAAAACCAAAAAACCCCAGCTAAATCAATGCATGTAGCAATTTTAGACTAAAGTATGCAGTCGCTCATGTTCAACCTTAGGAAATTATACTGTGCTACCTATTCCTGGTTTGTTTTTTATTTTTACACTGTAGGATAACAGGAACAAAAGTGTAATGTGGAGCTTTGGCATCGATTCACACCAACATCATTTTAACTCGTTGACTTCTGCTGGGTTGTCCTGGAAAATATGGCAAAACATATACCACCTACTGGTACAGCACCTACCAGGCCGTTTCTGTTCATTTACTCAAGGTAGCTGAGTTATAAGTCATTAAGAAGTTTAGTCTTTAATGTGGAGCTTGATGGATCTTAACTATCATGGCATTAGAGGGTGACACTTTTTTTTAATCACCAAGCTGTGGCAAATGAGAACAGTGTGCTACACATGGAGTCTGTAAAATTTCACTTCAAAGGTCTGATTTTCTTTAAGATATTATGAACGCATCCAGCTTTAAAGGTCATTCCTGAGCACTAGCCAGATGGTTTGAGGGTCCAATTTCACTTTATTTTTTGAAACACTCTTAAACATTACAACCCTTTTTAATTGCAAGGCCATGTTTACATTCAAACTGCCAGGGTATCTTGCATGAAATACATTTTTAATGAGTGGAATGTTTGAAATTTAAAAGTGTAAGCCATAAAATTGCTTGAATCTCCACTGAATAATTAAAATACAACTTTGCTTTATGGTTGCAATTTTCTGCTCTGTTAAGATTCTGTCTCTCTCCCTTTTTTTTTTTCCCCCTCACGCATAAAACTTTTAGAAATAAAATACACAGTATAAAACCAATGCTCTTAAAAAAACCCACATACTGCTTAGAAAATTTCAACCGGCATTCAATTAGTTTGTAATTTCCAATCCAGTCTTTCAAAATACAGTGGTTGCTTTAAAGAAAGGCAAAAAGGAATTTTTCCAGTCACATAACCTTCACAGATCTTTTCTTAAAATGTCCTTTCAACCTGCCAGTTTAATCTAATCCAGCAAATGGCTATAATCTGAGTACAGAGCAGACAGCAATACACGTAGGCTCCTTCACCGTGGTGTATTATGTTAGAGAAGGTGGCTACTACCAGCCATCACACTGACATGCAGAGCATGGTCCTGTGGTGCTAAGAACTCTGAGGAATGATTCTCACGTATGCATGCGCCCACGGTCCCTTTCTTACCACTTCAGCACCTAAAAAGGCACAAATAACAGACCCAGGTCCTATTGTGGCAAATGCTTTACATGTGAAACTACAGACCAAGTCTGGTTAAAAATGAACGGATACATTTGTGTAATAAAAACTCTGGGAAAACAGAGGACAGACGGTATATCAGGAATACAGAGCGGTGCTGAATAGCGTGTGCTATAGGACCTGTGTAAGAGAGGTGCTGCGAAGGATGGAATGGGTGAAACAGCTTGTACCACCTCATTTTAGGCAACAGATAGTGATGATCTAACTTAGCCAGGCTTCCTATCTACCGTGCACTGAAAATAGGTAGGTACCTCAGGGAAGTGATTCACCAAGGCTGGATCTCCCTTGGAAACAGATAGTTTCTCTCCACTAAATACACAGGGAGCCCAAGGCGGTAAGGATCATAAGACAGGCCTTTCAGATAGGGAGAATTAGTCCTCCCAGCAGGTGGTGAGGTCTGAAAGGTGCCATTTGCTTTGATAACACTACTCACAGGATAATAAACAAGTCCAGCAATGGCACTTGCTTCCTTTCCTAGCTTCTGGATGCAGTCTGCACATGCATGCTAATGTGTTTATATGCAGGTACATTATAAAAATTAAGAGAAATGAATGCATATCTAAACAGATGCTTAGGTTGAGGGGCATCGGTGAGCACAGACAGAACAGATCAATAAAAGGAGCGCTGAATGACACATTTTTCTTTGTTTGTTTGCTGTTCACCTTTGAAAAGAACACGATCATTTAAATAGCTTTTCTTTTAAGGAAGTATTTGATGACTTCAGGCAATCAAGCCCTGGGAAGAGATAAAATGCATAGCAATGAATACTTATTGGTTGTCTTTAACTTTTAACTTCTTTAAAAAAACCAAAACAAAACAAAACAACCTAGCAACAAAAAACAAACCAGCAGCAATTCTAGCTTTGATTGCTTCGTGTTCTTTTAAATTTATGGAGCAAACTTACCCATATCTGAAGTAATTGTTGAACTGTCTGCAGATCTTATGTGTAAGCTCTCTCTTACCACAGGCTAGAGGGCCAACTAATACCAGCATAGGGTAGGCAGCGTCAAGACTAGGTAAAGTGCTACAAGAAAGGAAAACAAGGAGCCATTATATTGTATTCATACAAATGAAGTCTTCAGCAACTTTGTATAAAGCTTCCGCAGAGACTTTATCATCACTTCAACTAATCTCATCTATCTATCACACTATTCACGTTGTTCACAGTGTAGACAAAAATCAGGAGAAGTGTGTGCTCAGTTTGCTATGCTCTAAACATAAAAATAGCACAAAATACTGCATTAAAGACCCCTGGGTCTCTTTTGCAAAAGGAATAGTGTTACGTCTACTATAATCTTTTCTGATTTATAGCCTTTTCTAAAGCTCCCTCTGCAGTTACAGTGTTGCTGGGATTTGTTTAAGAGTTTTCCAAGTCTATTGCAGAGATGATAATATTTTAATGATCAGGATAACAAGCTTAGCATGAACCTGGACTCAATCCTACAAATCTTTACACACTCCTGCATGCAATCTTGCTGACTTCCATGGCCTTGTCAGATGAAGGTGACAATTTGTAAAGAACTCTTCAATTCAACACAATGAAAAACACTAAGAACCTTAAACTCCACTGAAGACAAATAACACTACAATAAAAGAACCCAAAGTGCTGCAAAAATACAAAGCCCTCCATTTTCTCCATGCTGAGCAGATGGTTAGATCCTCAAATTTCCACTTCCAGCTGAAGTGGAATGAATAGTATTTCTGCACTTTTGAGTGTCCAGCAATTTCTTTAGCTAAAAACGGAACGCAACTTCGGACTCTGCTTTTTAAGTCTCAGCTGGATCTTAAGATTATGCCACTTGATGGTATGTCAGAAATGGTTGAAATAATCTCAAACCCGCTTATTTTTCACTAATAAATAGCTTTTAAATTTAAATTTAAAAGTGGAAGAAAACTACCTACGTGCATCTAGCTTCCATTTAATGTGATTTAAAACAGGTGAACACAAATACCTGAAAACAGAGTATATTTCTTTTGCCTCTTACAAGTAATTAACTCTCTAAGAAGTAATAACCATTCAACACAAGCATGGAGGAAAAAGATTTCTAAGTAATGGCTTTACTCCTATTTTAGGTTCAGCAAACCAGGTCTATTATCTACCACACAATATGTATATAATGGGACATGATGCTTCAGAAGCACTAAGATAATAATGCAATTCAGTCTCCTAGTTCTCCTGCAGAGTACTATCCTCCCAGAAGAAATAGCAGGTACACCTAATAAATTAAGAGGCTGGCTCAACTCTGTACATATGTGCTGTTACTAAACTGTGAAATGAACCCAGATCTTGGTTCAGTGTTCCATCCACTAGACTATTTCAAAGCAAGATAGTAGCAAAACCCTTGGGAGATTTAAGGATTTTTTACTTCCTGTGCCGACTTGTGACATTGACAAATCTTTAGACAACACTAGCACAATAAGCTTATTAGCACAATACATTAAAATACTGGAGAAAGTAAAAATACATTTTTAAAACCCTTATTTGTATCTGTTAGGTTGTCTATCCTGTTCAATTCAAGAAAAACCTTCCACCTCTCTTGATTATTTGAGCTGTTCAGACTGTCTTTCCCTTTTCAGACATTTGTCTTTCCCATTCAGACATGAGGAAAAGACCAGTTTAAGCCAACATGATCCGAGGAAGTGACAGTTGTAGATACTACAAGTGCATTATTATAAATGAACGGTTTTGAAGATGGGAGTTCCAGGAAACGTGCTTAGTGACTAGAGATCGACAATTTATCACGACATAGCAGAAAGGTTCTTATTCTTGCTCAAGGCCATGCCCTTTGTGAATAAAGATGTCAAGGTAGGTCTGTCAAGACAGAACCCTTATCTTCGACATAGTTTTAATAAATTCCTTCTCCATGCACAGAACCTGTTACAGGCTTGCAAATTGCAGAATTCTTCTATAATCTTTGCTTTTACAAGGAAGTGTTATATCCAGTAATGATACAATATATCATTACTTGACATGATAATGCTCGGAATTCAAATTCCCTTAAATAAATTTCCATTGCTCAAATTCCTCATGTCCTGAAATTCCTTGGATTTGTTATTTCATCAGAAGAACATGGAGAACTGTCTTTCATTACATCACCACTTACTGGCTCTCAAAGGATAAACTCAAAGTTTTGGTTTTCCTACAACTTGCAAGCAGTGTCTTGTAGAGTTCTTGGCTCATTTAATGTTCATCTTTCAACTCTCTTTGTCTTTAGCGAGCACAATAATACACTGCTGTGCAAGATTAATAGATTTCAAGGCCAAAAGGGACTACTGTGATCATCTACTCTGACTCTCCTCATCACACTGGCAACAGGATTTCCCCGAGTTAAGGCTTGAAACAAGAACAATACCTGAGGTTCCGTTACAGCATATTTTAATTAAAAACGTTCCAGTTGTGGAGAATTCTTGGTACCCTTGGTAGATTGTTCCAATGGTTAATTACCTTCATTGTTAAAAATAATCACGCTCTATTTCTTCTCTGAATGAATTTATCCTCCATAGCCAGATACCAAGTCTCATCATGTACTTGCCCAATAGACAGAAGAGCCCTCTCTTATTAAATTTCTGCTCCCCATGTCGCAGTTATAGCTATGATCAAGCTACCTTTTTAAACGTCACATGCATTTATAGTAGGGAAAAAATACACATAATATTATTCAGCGGTGTGTTACCATGTAATTAAAGATAGAATCACAAGGCACACAGAGAGAGGGAATGGCATATGAAACAATGCTAATGTTTTCTGACTGCGGAGTATGCAGCAATGTAACTTTTTGCTTTGTTTTCTGGTTTTATTTTGAATAGAGATATTATTAAAAGAGAATTAATGATATTTTCTTCTAAAAATATCGTTGCAAATGAACGATACCAATCTGGTTCCAATACGCATTTTATAGTGTAGAGGACTGTAATGCATCATTAGGAAGATTTCATTAATGACTGTGTTGTGTGCTTTCCAGCTGAGCATGGGCAAACATTCAAAGCATCATTAACAATTTCGGTTAGTACCATAAATGCTGGTCTGCACGTTCATATGTTTGTGTATACAATACCTCTGACAGAAGACAGAATTGTTTCTTTCCAGCAATGAAGATACGCATACACAACCCAGTAAACAAATATTTAAACAGAGCCTATGTCTGCATTGGAAGAAATCCATGCCTTTAGGTAAAACTATTGTGCTTTTTGTTTTGTTTTGTTTTAACAAATCTCCAACCCTGAAAAAATGTTTGGGTTTTTTTTTTAAAGGCTGTTAAGACTACTCAGAGCTATCATCACCCCTGGGATGGTTCCTGTCTTCAAAAGACAACCCCAGAAAACACAATTCTGAGTTACTAAATCATGGATCTTAAATCAGATTACTCATTATGAATTAGGATGTCCAAAATAGTACTAAAATGGGATGTGGGGCACAAAAGTTGATCTCAGCACCCACTGAAGCCAATATAATAATAAACGAGATATATTGTAGAGTATCTTCCATCAGAGTATGTCAAAGCATTTTCTAAGCATTCATCAAGCAAATATCACACTACATCTACAACGTATGGTGATTTCCATCTTCTAGATGAGAAATGAGACAGAGAAGTCACCTGGCACAGCAACGTTGGAAAAAAGAACGTTGATTTGCCTCTCCCTTCTGTGCTTTAAGTGGCAGTCAGCATCATCTCCTCCCAAAGGCAGAAGCAGTTGGGCTTCCCTAAGTACAAACTGGAAAATTTCACCTTATGAATATAAAATGTGCCCCAAAGCCACAAAATAAAGCCATTTTGCTCACAATGGGATGCCAATAGTGTAAAGAGAAGGAAAAAGCAGAATAGGAAGACGATATGTTTTACAGCTCCCTTCTCCCTCTAGAGATTTTTAAATTGCCTTTGGGTATTGATAGAAATTTTGCATCTTTCATTTATGGTGCAAATGGCCATCTGTTTCAGCAGATTGTTTAAAAGAAATGGAGCTGTGGACAATCTGTCTCAGACTTTAGAGGTGACTGACTGACTTCATTTCATAATCAATTTCAACCAAATAAGATTTGCCTGATTTCCAGACTGCTAACAGAGTACTACAGAACTTCTCCTCTTCGCTAGTTTAATTTAAGAGGTGGGAGAGGGACAGAAAAACGTCCCTCTAAATATGACAACATATTCTGCTTTACTTGAGTGCCACCCTCAGGAGCAGATGTGAAGTGGAGGTAAGCTTACCTGTCAAAGATTCTCTGGGGCTGAAGCATGCTATACATAATGTGAGTCATATGGTCCTTAGCAGCAACAACTTCTGGAGGGGGATCGTATTTATTCACAGCAGCAACCTGTTTCCACAGTTTAGGGGCATAAGAAAGAAGAGCAGTGATGTAATTGTTTCCAGCTGCAATATGCTTTGCAGATCACTATGGATAATGAGGGCTTCAAAATTATGAGGGTCAGTCTTTGTATTTGGCTTGTCTGTGAGCACCCGGCTACATAAATCTTTTCAGGAGATTTAAGCACAATTTGATAGATGGATGGAAGGCAGCCAGAGGTAGCTCACCATCTTTAATATATTCAACCTTTTTCGGGAAAGAAAACAGGATGCCACCTAAGATGCAAAGTAATTTTGCTTAGGTTTTAATTATCCATTAATTTGCATCCTCTCAGTGCTGGTGGAAGATGCTGAACTAAAATCCTTAGGGACTGAAGCCATCCATTTATTCGTCAGAATAGGAACAGAATGGGCATTAACAAAGTAAGCACACTGCAATTTTCTCCTGACAATGCATTTCGTCTTTCCTGGGGGAAGGAACACTCAAACTCCAAGGATTCCCTCCATCCATTCTGCTGAAATCTCTGTTGAGGGTACTGACTACTAATGAGTTGTACATTTTTTGGTATTATTAATGCTACCCACTCAGAAACAGGTTAAGAACTACTGAATAGTCATTTCATGTAAACTATCAAATATCAACAAGCTGACACTGCTGCAGAATGCTGCCGTAAGCTCTGATGTCAGCCATGCCTATATTAGCAAGTAGTGTGGTGCAATAGCAGTGGCTCTTTCAAGCAAAATATTTGGTACTCAAGACCCAGTTTCCACACTATTTTAGAGGCTCATTTCACTCTAGATTGATCCTTTGGTCCAAATTAGTGGCTAGTAGGACATTAGGTGCATCCTGGTGCACATGATCTGGTTGAGGTTAATCCAGAAGTCTAGTTCATGTGTTGCAAGACTATTCTGTGATGAGAATCACGCATGGCAAGTTGGGCAACTGGGAGTTTCACTTCAAAACTACACTTCTGATCTAAACTACAACATTTTTGTACATCCATTTTGTGCTAGTGAGACTGAAGAGCTGCTGCCTCCAAATTCAGTTTGATAAGAGAGTATTTGAGGCTAGAGTTCTCAAATAACCTGAGGAGAGGATTTTCTGAAATAAATAACTTTAATTATCCAGAAGTGCTAGTCTAAACCAGTCATCCAGGATTACTTTTACAGTCTATAGAGAAGGAAAAAATTCTTTAAGGTATTCAAAATGTTATTGGAAGGAAAACAGATTGCCACATAAGACAAGGAGTAAGATCAACATTTTGGGTAAGCTGGGTAAACTACACCCTGGTATCATGCCTTCTCTGTGTTCATAATAGAAAGTGCCTGGCACTAAACAAGAATCCTAACTTTTATGCAGCTAGAGTTAGGAATGATGAATTTCTTGTAAGGATCATTTTTAAAGGATAATTCCCTGAAATCCAACCCCGATTGGCAGCTGTTAATCCTAACAGTTCTAGCATGACTTGGGCCCAAATACTACAGGCAGCAACCAAATTACAGTAAAAGCTGCACAAGAGGGAAAGGTTTTATTACAATAGACAGTTTTACTGGAAGCAGTCTGAGCAGGTTTTTGGGGGGAGAAGATTTTGCAGTGAAAGCTGTACAGAGTAGACTGGGAAATAAGCATCATTATAACTTTCAGAGTTCAGTTTGCTGTACGTGACACTAAAACCCCCCAGCAATGGTATTTTAGAAATAACATAGTGATTATCCCTTCAGAGTATTTCAGGAATGTAGCTGCCTGTTTAGGTTCACTAGCTGAGTAACAATGGCTGCTAAGTAATTTTCTTCACTGAACAAAGCTTTTGGGTAAGCTTTGCATTTTTACATACCACAACTGCTCCAGAAATTCTGTAGATATGTATCTGGATTTAAAAGCAAAAGTCTTTCAATTTGTAGCCTATCTTGTGGGGATGAACCATGGGAGATTTGTTACACCCAAATGACTACAAAGCTACATTTGCATGCACAGTCTTTTATACTTTATTTAGAAAAATTCCAGAATGATATGATGCTTACATACCTTTTCTTCCACTGAAACCTTCTTGAGATCCAGTTCTGTTAGTCGGAGCAACATGAAAATCACAAAGAGCCAATAATCTGTTTGCTCCTGAAGGACAAAGTTTCCTCTTTGACATAAACTACTTCATCGATCTAATATTTCATTTCAATCAGTTGAAATTAAATTGGCCTTAATACATTGTAGCATAAAAAGCTTTTTACCCTGAAGGATGTCAATACACTGTACAAACTGACCTCCCACCATAAACTCAGCTTCTGCAGCAAAAGATATTCATCGTTCAAAAGTCTGAAACTACATTGTTCAAAAAGTCAAGATGTGAATTTAAAAATCACCACCACACCCACTAGAACACCAAGAAAGGCTGCTGGAGAAATAAAAGCTTTATCTACACCGAGATTATGTAATAAACTATGATTAATACTTCTAACCTTAGTAGTATTATAGCAACTTTTGCATTATAATTAATTATAATTTAATTAATAATAATGTGCATTTTAACTTTGTCATCATATAGGCCTTCAAGTCTGAGACAATAAAAAGGAACAATTAAAAATCAAATTAGAAAGCTGACACTGACAAGTTCATGAAGCTTCTTAGTTCTAAAACCAGTGAGGTCTTGTTAAAACAGCACACAGCTGTCTTAAGATTGTTGCATGTATAAGTTATTAAAATAGTACTTGAAAGGAACAGGATCAGACTTTGCTTAGGGAAAGGACATCTAAGCAGAAAAAGACTTTCAGATTACAGAGGACCAGGGGCAGCCTCTTTCGGGTATTTTTTCATGCTCATGTCATTGTGCGCCACAACAGATCATTCACAAGAAAGCCAATATAAAAACTGGCCATTACAGGAAGAAGAAGTTAAACCTTTAACATTTTTCTTCATTCTGACATTGGAAATCACTATAAAATTCACACATAATTTGGAAATCACAAGAGTCAGGATAGAATCATCTTTGATCACTCAGGACAAATTATAAATGCGGAGTCAAAGTCAGAATTTCTGATATTTTGCAAATGTCATTGTTGTTGATAAAATGGATGTTTAATTCATTAATTGAGGAATATTATGGGAGCCATAACTGAGTAAATCCTAAAGACGACACAGATTGCAGAGACACATGATTTTAAAAGGGTTACCACTAAATTCCTTTGAGCTTTTCCCAGTGGCAATCAAATAGAGACTTTCAAAGCAAACAAAAAACATGGCACACTGTGGGTACAAATGTATAAATGGATTTGCAGATGGAATTAATAAAATTAATGGATTTACTATGTGGATATAGAATCACAGAATGTTTTGGGGGTTGGAAGGGACCTTAAAGATCATCTAGATCCAGTCCCTCTTCCATGGACAGGGACACCTTCCACTAGATGAGGTTGCTCAAACTCATGATTAAACATCATGATTCACACGCAGCTTTGGTTCAAAGTTCCCAGACAAATGTGAGTAACGATGCCAGGGAAAGCATCATTCCCTATTTTCTGCACTTTTTCCCTGAAATGACCCAGTCACTCTTGGAGATAGAAGCTGAGGCTAAATGAATTCTGGTGTGATCCTAAACTGCAGTTCTAGGTTCTTATCTTTGGCTTCTTCTTTAGTTCTTTCTTACCTGTACAGGATTTTTTAAAAGGTTTAAAACTCTGAGGAGAGGTAGATCTTCAATACATTCAAGTTCACGCAGCTCAGCAATCTAATTAGTGACAGAAACAGAGCACAAATCAGCAGCAACAGAATCCATGAGAACTATGGGGAAAAAAAAAGTGTTTTTAATCCCTGCTCTTAAAATCTGGACATAAAAAAAAAAAAAATCATTATACTCACAAAATGGGTATACATGTTAACTGCATTCAATGAGGCACTTCTAGTCAACAAAAAGCAGACAACTTAGATGGTAGCTGGAGAAGCAGTATAATACAGACAGCAATTTCAAACCACCTGCATTTTTCCAGTTTTTTTCAAATGTCAAGCCCTAACACATTTAGCTTTTATGTGGTGGATGTGCTTAAGTGAGGCAATTCTGCAGTTATATTTGCACTTCAGTTGACTAGCAGAAAAAAAAAAAAATCTTTCTAAGAAGAGTTTCTTTTCACTGGAGCTCAAGTTCATCCTACCTAACTTGCAGCACTTGACTGAAAAGCATCAGCATAGCTGTCCTTGGCTGTCTGTGTTCAGTGGGTGATGCAGCCCACCTAAGGTCTCATCTACCCACAAAGGATCCCTGGGTTGGTGGCACTCAGACACATCACATAAGCACTGGAAGTTACCTGGGATTAAGCAAAATTTGTGTACCCAAATCAAAGTCACGCTAGAGGCACTAGTGCTAGACCTTGAGTGAGCAGTTGTAAGGCTCTTAACTAAAACAAAATGGGTCAAATGGAACCCACGCCGCCTGATTTTAGCCATCTGTTAAGTTAGCCCAAGCTAATCTCACTTTATAATGGGTGGAGAGGCAGTTCCAGAGCTCACCCGATCCATGGTACGCTGGGATGAATTGTTATGTAAAGACACCTGGTTTTCCTCCACCGCTGAAATACTGAACCTAGAAGACTTCAGATTCTATCTCTAACTTATACTCAGCTTATGTAAAGTGTCTAAAAACACAAACCTCAACCATAGCCTGTCTAATATTCATTTTGAGATAACAAGAAGCCCCACTGCAGAACAGTTTTGACCAAATCAAATGTCATTTGGGTGGACTTCCTAAATAAATCATAGAATGCCAACCATCAATATTTGAAAATCACTGCAGATGTACATGAGAGACATGGTTTGCAGATAATCCCGTCATGCCCATTTTTGAAAAATCAAGCATTTAAGATCAAGCATAATCATTCTGGGTGACAGTGAGCTGAAAGTAACTCAGGTTTTTCTGCGTTAATTAATTAAAATTCTCTTTAAATTATTCTTCAGGAGAAAATGTTCAAAAAATGGTGACTCATTAAACAGTTTCAATAACATCATTAAAAGAGACAAATTTTGATGAGGTAAAATTAATAGCTTTTGCATGCCGTAAAGAACAGTGGAAACTATATAAGGCAATGGAAGTGGTGTTATTAATGCTAACAGCAGCCACACTATTAGTTTCCTGTCTTGTGCAATTGATGTACCTTTAAATGTCAACCTGAACACAGTGTGAGAAAAAGAATCCATAGCGTCTTGAATTAAATCCTGTAAATGTATCTTGCAGGTGGGAAAAAATAGTGGAAAATGGTCAATTCCTAGTTTATAATTTTATTTCTTATTTTCTCAGATTTTTTTTTTTTTATTTCACATGTAAATCTGTCTTTGATGTCAAAATGATTCATAAATTGATGGTCTTTTCAGTTAAGGACCCTGGAAGATCAATATCAGAAGCATTATGTATATATGGCTTGGGTTTCAAAATTCAAATACAAATGAGCTGGATAGTGTCATTGTACTTTCAGCAAAAATTCTGCTGCATAACAAAAGCCACTTTATAATAGAGCACATGCAGTTCTGCCTTACAGGAAGTTCCCAGCTGAGAGCTCAGAAGAATCTGTGGTCATAAAATTGGGCTAGAGAGATATTAGCAAACCCTCCTGAGGCCTGGCAGTAGAAAAGCTGTGATGTAAGTAAAGATCCTCAAGAATAATCAAGCTGAAAAAGCTGCATACTCATCCCTATCTTATCCACTCAAGGGAGCACTGTTAGTTCTGTATGTATGTGAGCATTAAATACTACAGAAGTGATACCTACATAAAGATAAACCCATCTAGAGATATTAAATAAGGCCTAAGTACACCATCAGTCAACATGAAACAGCATGAGTGAAATACCAAAGGAAAAAACGTCATCCTGTCTAATATTAATTTCTTAGTGTTGTGAGATGTTTTGATTAAGCTTAACAAGATTGAATTTTAGAACAAAAAAAGATAATTATGTATTCTAAGAAAAAAAATTAGATCAATATGAGGTATGCTACCTGGTTATCCTCTAGGTTGATCATCTCTAGTAGATGATGTTCCTCCAAGCCTTCTAGACTAGTTATTTTATTCCTAGATAGGTCCAGCTTCTGTAGAGTTCTCAAGGTGTTCAACCCAGTTACCTTCTCAATCTGGTTAGAGCTCTAAGAAGAAACGAAAACATAGGAACTGTTGACAAAGTTCTACAGATGGAAAACAATATTCCTGAGTGTTCATGTCATTATTGAGAATCCTATTACAAATAGGCCTTTTATGCATTAGCCCATCTTCAACTTGAGATGATGTATTACAGCTTTCCATACTGCTCAAGGAAAAAAGAATCAACTATCTTCTGAGTTACTTGTCTTCAACTCACCTTGAAGAGCAGCGAGAGACAACAGCAATAAAAAGAGCTCTTGACATTCTTTTGAAGCTGATACTGGCTAAAGGATACTCTCGTCACTATCCAACTCAAAATTTAGGAAATAGATATGCACATAAAATTACAGAATATATATACATAAATACATATAATTTCCCTCTGTAATCATGGTTATATTTACACTTATGATTACAGAATAAATAATGAAAATATTAAGGTAGAGCAATACAGTACTGTCTTCTTTGGACTACGGGCAGCCTATAAAAATATCTCTCGGATACACAAGTTCATCTTAATGCATACTAAGTGAAGGCAGACTTTATTTGCTGTCAGTGACAGAATGCACAGAAATGTTAAAAAAACCCCAAGCCACCAAAACCCACCTTACTGTAAGTTCATCTGGACTCTAACACAAGAAATGACCCAAGCTTTTGAGAACTCATAACCAGCTATCATTATTTTAGATTCCTTCCAAACAAATGACAAGATAGAAGACCTAGATTTATCACTGGACACCAGATGGCTTCATTTCTCAGAGCCTCACAAATCACACGCTCGTTTCTGCTACGAACTCCAAATAGGTACAACATGCTAGGTTCTGTACTCATCTTTGTCCCAGTGGCCACACGTACCCAGATGGCCTCTCCACATGATTCTTTCTGTATAACCTTGCAAGTTATATTTTCCCATCAGCATCACCTTGTGCTGAAAGCTTAGAAGCCTCATATTCTATTAATAAATATTTAGGAACTATTGAAATAAATAAGCTTGCTGACTCTAATGTTAATCCAGTTGTCTGTCCTTGACATTTTTCCTGACTTTTAAATGTTTAATTAGGTTATTAATAGCGTGGAGGCTCCCTCTTCTCTTCTTGTTCTTCGTTAGACCTCTGTTTAATAGGGTAGAGCTCAGAGCTCTAGTTGCAAAATGCTATGCAAGAGGTGCACATAAAATTCTGTGAACTAAAGGCATTTGTGTGGAGATCCTCTTTTGCAAAGCATAAAATTCCTAAGAGTCCAGTTCATTAGAGCTGCACTTACTTTTCTGCAAACATAAGCAGAATAAAGGCTTTTTGGTATAGCTAGGCAGTATTTACAGTTTTTGAAGCCCTCTCTTCCAAACTTCAGACCTTACTATTCTTTCAACCTAAAAAGGCCAAGGGAAAATGGAAAAGAATGATGAATCAATGGGAAGAGAAGGGATGAATGCTCCCATGAAAAGAGAACTGCATTTTTTTTTCTAACTGGTAAAAGAAAACGCTATGCTAAAATCTGCCTATTTACATAATTTCCACATGACTATCTAGTTTGCTTATTAAAAAAGACAAGCAGTTGTATAAATAAGCATATCAGCATGTAAGAACCAAAACTGAAGAACATGTTCATATTAATAAGGCTTAGCTGTTAACACAACCTCCAAAACATTTTACAGAGCAGATAACCATTACTAACAGAATTATTATTAGACCTTTTAGATGAGGAAATTAGTGCATACAATGGCTGAGCGACTGTATTTCTCCCTGAAGAAAGTATTTAGAGAAAAGCTCTTCCTGTCAGCTTAGATCGTCATACTCCTACAGTTCATTTCAGAACTTTTAGACATGATTTTGCCAATCTGAGTTAATCTTAGCCACTAAAAATGAGACAAAATTCAGTTTTATTGCCACTAAGGGCATAAAGCTACTGAAGGCATTATATACCTGAAATATATTAAAAATACGTTACTGAACACCACTGGAATATATTATTCAAAACATTCCACTGTCCACTTTTAAATGTGAATATTTTTCCTGAATATCAAAGCAGTAATAAGTACAAGGGCCAATCAGGCCTTGATGAGTACAGACCTTAGTTACTCTTGTCTATATCAGTTACTACAGAGCTGAAAGGAAATCTTTAAAATTTTAAAAGGATTGGAAAAGAATATTTCTATTCTTTATAAAGGTTTCATTCACTTTACCTAAAATATTTATGTAGGTGCTTAAAACTAATGTGGCAAATATGAGCATATTTCTATGTATAGCTTTTTTGGTACTCATTTTTAAAATCCCAGTAACTATTTTTAATCTTTTTATTACAAAGTTAAAGTTATTAAGAAATAGCCTGTTGTATTTTATAGCAACTGAACAGCTTTAAAAATAGGTTTTGCTTGTGTTTTTGGGCAACATCTATACGGATGGCTCTTCCTATTAAGTATCTCAAAATGATTTAGTAGAAAGCGTTGGTATTAAGGACATTTTACAAACATGGACCTGAGGAACACTGAAATAAATGCCTTCCCAAGGTCTGTAAAAGAGCCAGATGCATGCAAACAGAGGTAGGCATTGACAGAGGTCGATATCTGGGGTAGTTATCGCTGGCTATCTTCATAACCAACAGAGAGAAACAGGCACTTCCAAGGCCTGATGCATTTTGCATGAATGTAGATAACAGCAGCTGGATCAGAATAATGGGAGTTTTTCAAGTGTCCATTTCTCTCCACTGACTTTGAGGCTCCAGAAAACAATGAGCTCTGTTGTCTACACCACAGAAATCTGGAGCCAGATAAACCCCACTAAAGCATCTAGAAATATAACCTAGAAACGTTGTATTTAAACAAATATACCCTAGATATCTCGACGCAAAGCTGGCAATACAAAGCTTCCAATCTCATGACAAGATCCTTACAAAATTAAACAAAGATCCTATAACAATATATCAGATTTGCATCCTAAACTTGACTTGTTTTCTAAAACAAATGGAGGCTGCTCAGTCCTCACTTCTTCCTCTCCTGTCCTAGCTCACTGCTGTCATGAACACAACTTCATGAGGAAATGTGCTTTAAAAAACCCAATAAAACAAATCATTGTTTGTATAGTGGGACTTGCAGAGTAACTTCTTACACATCGCCTAAGCGACAACAAAACCTACCCAGAGCAAAAGCAAAATATCTTCGGAGAAGTTCAAAACCTAGCTGGACAAGGCCCTGAGCAATCTCCACTGAAGACGGAGATGGATCAGATGATCTTCCCAGTTTCCTTCTAACCTATATCATTCTATGATCCTGATTTAATAGAAAAAAAAATGTGTCCAATATTACAAAGATCTCTGAAAATCTGTTATGTAACTACCTGCACAATTATTAAAGCATTAATATATAGATAAAAGGCAGACGGGAAACCAACTCGAATTACTTCTTCCTTACCAGATTGAGTATCCTGATAGGTAAGTTCTCAAGGCCACTGATTGCACTGAGTCTGTTGTGTGACAAACTAAGATGAGTCAGACTGTGACACTTCTCCAGTCCTCTTATCTCCTCTATGTTATTAACTATACAGAAGTGTTTGTGTTTAAGGAAAATAACCAAACACAAAACCTTAGCAACAGTTAGCAGTTAAATTAGCCAGTGGAGCTGAATTTTATGGTATGGAGTGCTAGACATCAAATGTTTCATGTTAAGGAGTTTTAAATCCCAGCTGCTCACACCCACCCCTATTCTGCAACTCACCGCCTCCTTGTTTGACTGGCACAACTTTTTGCAGGGCAGCAGGACAAGCGACACTTACTCAGATAGAAATATCCTCCCCTCCTTTTTGGAGGGGTTTTTAACTCCAAAACTGTTTCTGTGACCTGGTGTACAGTGCAGTCCTTCAAGCTGGCATAACCGGGTTGGTGGCAAATCAAGAAAGTAGTGAAAATGAAGGAACAGGCGTGTGGGGGAAGAAACTACTTCTGCCACCACCTTGCAAAACTATGCTGTAAATCTCTGATCTTCTTATCAGATGCACACATGCAGGCTAAAACATAGGGGTATTTATGTCTTTTGAGTCTACCTGAGCACCACCCATGTTAGGTCAGCTGTAGAATCCAGGTACATGGCTGATTCACTGGAGGAGGGTGTGACCTTTTTATGTTTATGGAGTACTTAACTCAACATGGCTCCAAACTGACCTTAACCTCCAAGCTTCATACTTAAATTATTCAAGTCATAACAGACAAGAGTACTATACGGGGCTATTTCACTCTAAATTACACCTGTTCTATACTGGCCACCTGCCCTGACAGGGGAAAGTGTATCTTAAATTATCATTAAAATCAAAAGCAGCAGTAGAAGTAGTTAGGATTCCTCTTAGCAAACTTCAGCATTAACATAACTACCCAGATTCCTTAAACACAGCATGTCTCCTTTGACAACAAGCCTTCTCAGACTGCTTTTACAATGGGATGAACTGCAGAGGTACCTGACTGTATTTCTCCACTGTACCAAACTCAGGTAACTGATCCAGGCATGGAATTGCACTCGTATTTTAAGTGTCCAAGATGGAACTAGTTACATAAAAGCTCAAGAAATATAAATGAAAAAAAAAAATAGCCAGAACATGCAGGACACAGAGAAATGCCTTTAGACAATCACAGAAGAAAACATTTTTAATTGACTTGAGAGAATAAACTCTGCCTGCAAAGAGGGGCAAGTGATTTTTCATCCACATTTCTAGTCTTACCAGGCAGTGGACAAATTATCAGGATTTTTTCTCAGTCTGAATAATATTGTAACCAAACTGTAAGCTTAGTCAGGGACAATAGAACACTCTTTAACAGCTGTGACTAAACTCTTTTTTGTCCTAACTGCATTCCTACACAGGGACATAACTATACGGTACCCGAGTTCTACACTGACAGGCCTAGATGGGGAAGGAGAGGAGGAGAAATGAGATAATAAGCACAGATTTATCTTTTCATAGGACCTCACAGTAGGCTGTCTGTCGTTTTAGAAAAGAAACCAAAATCCTCCACAGGCACTGATACTGGGCAGATATTAACTGATTTGCATACAAAATGGGACTGCTTCTCTTTCAACTGAGGAAAAAAAAGTTGGAGGGAGAAAAAAAATATATTTAAGCCATAAGTATCAATATGAGGTAGCAAATTACTCAGCACTAAAAATTAATACAATCAGTTTTAGTCTTTTGTCAGATATTATTGCCCAAACTGTCTCCCTTTCTGGTTTGGGCAGTTTCCTCCCTGAAAACTCATTTATAAACCTGTCAGGTACGCTTGTGTGTGTACCTGACAGAAAAAAAAAAGTTACAATGACCTTACCATCTGCATCATAATTCACTTAAATATGGTAAAAAATTATTAGTTACTGTCAACAAGAAGTGAACGGCACACGTTTCTGCTACTGCGTGATATTTAATATAGTATTTTCATTTACAATTACAAAGAACAGCTTGTTTTGTCTGCCATGTCTTTGGCGAGGAGTGCTTGACACGGGTGAGGAACAGTGCCACTTTCCTATTCTAAATTCTGCACTCAATTTTTCTGTATTTCAGAGGGTCCTGTAGCAACTGTGTGCATGAAGCAATTTTTCTCCCCATTTCAATGGCACCTTCATTGACAAATAAAGAAATTGAAGATAGCACGCTGCTGCATTGAAACCAAATGAAAAAAAATAGTGATTCAGATCCACAGTACAAATCTCTGATCTCTTTTCCTTTTCATTTTGCCGTATGGTTTTTGCTCTGCGATAGAAAATTAGAATTGCAAAGGCATGGTGCCTCGATGCCATTTTCTGACAAGAATCATGTCACCTGTACACCTTGTAAAACATGTGAATAATGTAACCTGGGTGCCCTGCAAATGCTTTATCTGCTCCTACATGAAAGCATTGTATTAATATCGTTTGGTAATGGGCTACTTCGAGGACAAGGGACAGAGGAAAAACTGCAACAGCCTGCTGTCTTCTCCTTTTCAGAGAGCAGAAAATCAAGCTGCAATTTATGAAGCAAAGAGGGAAGGTTCACGAGCCCTTGGGAAGCAATTGTAAGTCAGGCAGCATGTCAACATGGAACTCCAGAAGAGCTTTCAAAAAAGCATAGGAGAATCTTTAGGGAGACTGAGAGTGCTACGGACAGCCTTGGAAAAGTAAGCAATGAAGAAACTTAATCTGCAGGTTCCTGTTTATCTGATTTCTGCTAGAACAGTGTTTCTAATCCCACAGACAGTACCAGTGAGAGTGTGGAAGGTGGGTAGCAGAACACCTTTGCTCTGTGTTCTTCCCTCAGCAATACTCCAGGAAGTTTTCTTTCACTTAAAGATTCTCTTCACTGTCATTAAACGGACTTGTCCTTCACAGAACTTGTACAGTCCCTGTGTAATTACGCACGTCTAAGATTAAACAACATGCACCTTTTTCATTTAAGGGTGCTTAATATTCCAAGCTGATTTCCTATTAACCTTTTCTATATAAAATTACTAAGATTATTTATTACCTCTGCCATGCAAAGACAGCACGACACGGCACTTTTTCAGTTTTACATCATGCAAAGAGAAGGTTTTTTGCGTTCCTCTAGCAGGCTAATACTTGACATGTATACACAAACACTTCTAACACTATGCATGCTTAAGTAAATTAAGAGCAGTTTCACCACCAGAATCAGTGTTTAATCTTGTTTCTAAAGACATAATGGGCATGAAGGAAAAATAAAAAGAAAACAGGTATCTGTATGAAGCAACAGCTGTTCAGAAAGTAAACAAGCAACTTTTCTCCCATTCAAGTTTCATAAAGGATACAATCCAGCAAGAGTTTAGTAAGTGACTGGTATGCTGACAAATCCTGCATTTTAGGTATTTGATTGTGTGAAAAATCTACTTCCTAAAGTAAAAAAGAAGACAGAAAGTTAGTTTTATTCCTTCAGCACTTACAGCTGTCTTGTGAAACTAAACAGCTGCTACACTAAACTTGTGATCAAGGCTGTGGAAGAAATATGACGATCATTAATATTAATATTGGGACATAAAAACAAAGACTGTTTTTTATGACACATAAATTTCACATTTTGGGAACTTCCAAAACCATACATTCTTCCAACAACATTCTCGTTAATGGTCCTGTAATTATGTGTACATATTAAAAAATAAAACCAACCAACTAACAGAGAAAACAGAGAAATACATGAAGTTTGTATTTCAAAACAACCTCCTGCTTTTTATAACCTGAAGTGGGCTACAAGAAAACAACAGCAAAGGGAAGACTAGCACACAGCTACATGTTAAGTACGTGTTTCACAATGAGGATTAGCACCAGTCAATTTGAAAGGCAGGAACTGATCCCACTAAAGGTCTGATGAATTTGACAAGCAAGGAAAAAATTCTGGTTCTATTTACGTCTGGCTAGAACAGTCAGCTGTATGGTATACCTTCCCATGGCATGCAAGGGTTCAGAGTGTGAAAGAAAAAAGACTGAAACATGCAGCACAAAAAACCCAAACATTTGAAAATGCTATTAAAATGTCAAATGAGGTAAGAAAGGAGAATAAAGGTGGCCTAAAAATTTGCTTTTGCATGTGTCCAAATACAATGTCTAAATCAAATTTAGAAAATGGTTTTGAATTTAAACCTATAAAATGTATTTTTTGCAACTTACCTTGAGATTTTTAGGTGGTTTAAAAACAAAATATGTAGTCAGTTCATTGTTGGAAGCATTCAGTTCTAGCAAGTAAGGCATGTGACTGACACAAGAAAGATCTAGTAACAAGACAAAATGTCAAATCCTGTGCATGAATGCATAGGTAAATGCAGAGATCATCATGTGAGAATGGGATAATTACGTCCAATAGCAATCAAAAATCAATTTGCAGTTACACATTCAGAAAGCAATGTTTAAAACGCAGAAATCAGATGTATTAACACCTTCTACTAGAAAAAAAAAGATGGTTTCTAAACCACAAAGAATAAATATTTAAGTTCTACATTAAATTTCTATTATGCAAACTGATCTGTCTGCAAGTCAGGATATAGTTTTATATTCTAGCTAGCTCTAGAATGACAGAGAGACTATCTCTGTCCTAACTAATTAATTAGCAGAGAAAAGTATTTAGGCCTTTACTGAAGACTAAACGACTAGTTGCTATGGAAAAGTCTCTGCTCTGTGCAGACCTAGCCTTCACTGACAAACTATTAGTAAAATGAGCACGGAGAAGTGCTGCCTTACAAAAGTACTGCTATTATAGGACTCCAGCACCTCAAGTGAAATGAACTTGAAAGAAATAATGCAACAGACTGCCACCACAGCTTATTCCTTTTGATGTGAAATTAAAAAATGAGTTGGGGCATACAAGGTAGAGGGCAGGAGTAGGAGATGATGGACTTTATCTCAGTCTCCATTTGTTGTTACCTTTCTACATCCAGGATACAATTTTTTTTAACATTTTGTCACCAATGGGAAACCCTGACAAAGGAAAGCCCAAGGCTGGGAAAACTGTACCAGACATAACTTTAAATATTATGACATCTGCTCAACCTTAATCTTGTATTGACATGCTTGCATGCATTTTATCTTTGGATAATAAACTGGACAATAATCGCCATGTTTCCACTGATAAACATATGCTGGTGCAGCTGTCTGAATGGTCCATACATCATTCTCAAGAAGATCTAGCCATCACCTCATTCTATAGAGCTGGAGTAGTTACACATTAAAATGTAGACCAGGCTTTGTGATACTAAAACTACATGGTACAGTGCTTTTCTCATCTTAAATGATTTCACAACCCAAGAATTTACTAGAGTATTTACTACATACCATTAATTTTATTATATGAAAGTTCCAGCTTCTGTAGGTGAATGTATCTGGAGAGAATGTTAATGTCACTTAACTTACGACCCTGGAAAAATAAAGCAAAGAGACTTTAATAACTATCTGTATAACCTCAGCCGCTCTCCCAAGAGATACGCAGCAGCAGCAGACATTGAAAAGGTGCCCCGAGGTCCCTCCAGCTGGATGTGTTGGAACAGGATGACATACACCAAGAGTGATGTTAGATCTGCAGACCAGCCATGAATGGAGAAAATGTCAAAAGACTTTAAAACACAACTAGGAGAGACAGCTGTAGCTAGGAAAAATGCCAGGAAAACAAGGCTGCATAGAAAAGGGAGTGGCAGCAAGTAAACTTCAAAAAGAAACAACCACTTTAACTTTCTGAATGAACACAGCATTCTCAGGTGTTTAGCATGTTCCTCTATTTTTTTTTCTTTCCTCAGCTGACTGAAGCAGGAAGATACATTTTCACACTCAAAGATTGGGAAGGAAAAATCTTAACTGCTGTTGCTACTAAGTGAACAAAACAATACCGATATGGCAGTTGCCAGCAGGAGCTGTGCTGTGTCTTGTCAAAAGTCCCATGTACATGAAACGGCATTGACAGGTAGAGACAAAAATCTGTGTCTTGAAATTTTTTTACTAGACCAACTATATGCTGTTAAAATCAGGAAACGTTTGAGCAGAGAAGCACTTTACATTGATGTTCTTTGCTTATACTTACTGAAAGCGACAGATTGAGATAAACATATTCAATACCAGGGGCTGAGCGCCCCAGCTTGTGGAGTCCCTCAGCCACAGTGTCTTCATCCAACACTCTTTTAAACTGACCCTATAAAATACCAGAAAGGGAGGACAGGGGGAGGAATGGATTAAGGAGAGATACATAAAATGAAATTCCACACTCGGTAGAATCTGGGGCCTGCTTGGGATGCAACCAGGAACAGAGTTTAATAAAAGTCCTCAATCAAATGGTGCTTTCTTTCAGTGCTCCATCCCTCTACTAATGCACTAAACATTAGGAAAAATGACAATTACAGCCCTCAAAAAAGATAAACAGAAACATATCACATACTATCTCTATAATTTTAAAAAAGGTTGGGTTTTTTTTTTTTTTTTTTTTTTACCTTTCGGTTTAAATGAACAGCTCTAAACAGGGCCTGTTTCCAGAGATGTTGAGCTCACACTGATTATGGATATCTCAGCAAATCAGCACTAACATAACCCCAGTGCTGCACCCCAATATGCACATTATTGGAGGCCCTTTAAATTTGTTCAGCATGAGCAGCTAGCGCTACTCTTCAGAGAACAATCTTTGCCAAAGAGGGTACTTGACAGATGGCACTAATGAACCACTGTGTAGGTTTAATGAGAAAATAAGCCAATGGCTTGTGAAACTCCTAAGAGCTTGGAGAAGGCACACAGTTCCCAATCTAGGGACCAAGATAAATAATGTTTCAAATGGTAATAATCTAAATTATAGCACCTACATGTTATATCATTGGAGACTAGGGATGCATTTCCACTAGGTAAAAATATGAAGTGGTACCGCTGTGACAGCAGACACTTCAGAGCCCAGAAGAGCAGGAGAACAAATTCACTTGGGTCCAGGGGTTATTGAGTCTCAGAGCTGGGGCCATAAACAAGTTTAACTTGGCAATCCATGCACCAGTTTATGCTTAGTCTTTATATAGAAAGGAGAAAGGGAAAATCCAAAACTATCTTGGACACCACAGGGATGGAGGAACCCTAAAAAAAGGCAGAAATGAGGGATGAGGGGAGACTGACCAAACCAGCCCTTCCCCTCTTTGGAGAAATGAAAAACCACTGGTGCCCTCATCGACTCCCCATTATTTTCCCCACAATTACACTGATGAGAGGAGAAAGGGCTCTTCCCTCACGAGCACACCCCTCCCCAAATAGCTGGGGGGCACCGAGTTGAACCTCTGCGTGCTGTGACTCCTCTTCCTCTTCGTCACCGGGCTCCTGCTCGTCCTCTTGGTGAGACAGACTGAGCTGTGGCTGCCGCAGGCTGGGCCTGTCCTGGGGCAGCTCCCCGGGGATCCCCTGGGAGCGGTGCTGCGGAGGTCCGTGAGAAGGGGGAAGCAGCTCACCGAGGCCGCCCTCTCCCTCCTTCTCCTCACTCCCCTCCATGAGCTGTAATAAGGAGCGAAGAGGCGGAGGGAGCTGCGCTACCGATGCTTCGCACTTGACCGCCACACGGTCACCCCCCAGAGCAGGCCGCCGCCATCTTGTTTGCTCTCCGGTTGCCGCAGAGACGGGAGAGGCAACACCCCCCCGTCACAGGGAAAGGGGATTCGCGCCATCCCGCCAGCCAGCCAATAGAAAAGCGGCGGCGGAGCGGTGCAGGATGGGAGTTGTAGTTCTCGGCGCCGGGCTCGCCCGCCGGGCCGCAGAGCATGTCGGGAGTTGTAGTCCGCCTCGCAGGCCCTCAGGCGGCTTCTGCGGCTGAAGGCACCGCATCCTCGCTCACGCAGTCCCTCTCCTTTCCGCTTTCCCCCTCCCACTTTTCCGCAGCAAGGGAGAAGAGTGTGTTTGCTCCAATTGTGCGCACCAGATCAGGGTACGAACTCAATGCTGTCAGAAAAATCATCTTCGTGGTACCGTTATCCAACCACAAAGCCCCAGGGCAATGTGCAAGATGGCGGCTTTCCTCAGCGGCACCATAAGAGTAAAGACTACGCAGAGAGTTGGCAGTCCTGACTCCCAGTCAGCTGTTTTAGGCCAGTCCAGGTTATCCCAGTTTTTGTCTGCAAGGACGGGTGTCGTCGATCATTTATACTGGGAGTCTCAGCTATCTGCTGGGGTGATGGTCTGAGGGTGTTTGAAATGGATGAGTAATGAGTTTCCTTAAAAAAAATACAGTTTCAAAACTGGTGGAAAAATCTATATAATTTTGCTGAAAACATTTGGGAAATAATAAGGGATCCGGCTGTCACATCAAAGGAAAGTAGAATGACAGCTTTTTATATCTTTGCTTCTTGTCCTGCTTTTTTTTATCATCACAAAAGCCTGACTGCTTCCGTGGTTGGACTGACAGTGTGTGGATCCATCCTGGCACACAGTGCGCCCATGGGTGATGGCTGCTGGAGAGGGTGCTGCTGCCGTGAACTCTCTGGGATGATGGTTTTGTTTAGCCCTGCAAAGCACTGCTTCACTGTATTATTCCTGTTTGAGGAACTAGAAAGCTCAGCACACCATGTTACAGGGGAAGAAATAAAAATCCCCAATTGTGGGCAACAAGTTTTGGGCCATAAAATATATCTTACAGATACCAATCCACTCTTAATACAAATCTTATGTAAAGATACTAAAGATACTGGAGTTTTGTGTTGAGCATGTTTAGTGAGTTGTGGACAGTAACCTCTTGGTTCCAGTCATGCCCTGTGGCACGAGTTCCACAAGTTCATTACTGCAGAGGAAAAAAAAAGGAGAAAGTTATTTGTTTTCTCTCATTTTAGGCCTTTCCCATTCCCAGTACATCATCCACTTTTCTTCTTATATTGCAGAACAGGATAAAATGAGAAAATAAAGCCAGAAAATAAAGGAGGGGAGGAAGAAAAGATGTGCCAGGATGTCTCCAAATACAGGTCCCTGTGAGATAAAGATGGGGAGAACACTGCTTCACATGGTAAAACAATTTAATTTTGGGGACAGGGGATTCCTGGTTATTGCAGTGGGTCTGCAACTGGGTCATGACAGCCAGGTGAGCCTTGAGATTCTGTTAATTCTGGGTTTCAACATCACTTAATTGCCTTCTGTGTCTTTGTAAAATGACACCTGTCTTTGACTGCAATGGCTATTGCTTTAAAAAAAAAAAAAAAAAAAAAAAAAGGGAGATCTAAAAACTCCTTATGGACATTATCCACTGACTTTTATCTCTGTGCTTCAGGGAAACATTATGATAACTGCAATAAAGCTGGCCCAAATTACCTTCCTTCATTATCTCACTGGCCATAAATGTTAAAACCCTTAATGGGATTTACTCCTTTTCCACTAAGCACCTCGTGCCTCCTCCCACAGCCCTCTGGGCACAGAGGTTGCCCTGCCAAGGCTCTGCTCTGGATGGTGTATGTCTAGGACTGTTCAGGTTAAGGGCAGCAAAGGCAAGGGCTGGAGAGCTCAGGAAGGGATGGAAAATCCTGAATGGGAAGGAGGGATCCTATCTGGGAATATGTTTTAGGAGGCTTTTGGATTTGTGACCTAGGAGAACAATTTCTGAATCACCAGAGCCACAAAGCCAGGCAGGAGCTGCTCAAGGACAGCAGGGCTGCTGTAGCTGTTTCAATCTTTCATAATATCTAGGATATGTTCCTTCTCAACACTTATAGTCTGCATCTGCAGATCTTTGCCTTCTGCAAACAGGGGAAGTCGCTTTTTGATGTGAGCCCTGCACTCCCCAACTGCAAGATGATCAGCACCTGCTTCCCTCCTGTGTTGGGACTCCCTGTGAGCACAGGAGGTGGCTGTCAGCCCCCCAGGGGTCTTCCTGGCAGCCCAAAGCCATAACGCACAACAGGTGAAACCACTGCAGCCTGTCCCCCCTCTCCACACCTTCGTCATCAAGTCACACATTGGGCTGCAAATGGCACAGGAGGGCTGAACCCCACCTGACTGGTCAGACTTTCACCAAGTTGGGTGGGAGTTTTGATGGGCTTGAGGGCTCTGCAGAGAGACCTGGCCAGGCTGGAGCCATGGGCTGAGCCCAACTGGGAGAGTTTCACTGAGGGCAAATGCCGGGGGCTGCCCTTGGGCCACAACAACCCCCAGCAGGGCTACAGGCCTGGGGAGGAGTGGCTGGAGAGCTGCCGGTCAGAGAGGGACTGGGGGGGTGAGAATGAGCCAGAGTGTGCCCAGGGGGCCAAGGAGGGCAACGGCATCCTGGCTGGTGTCAGCACTGGCGTGGTCAGCAGGGACAGGGAAGGGATCTGAGCCCTGGGCTCGGCACTGGGGAGGCCGCCCCTCGCTGAGTGGGTTCAGTTCTGGGCCCCTCACCCCAAAAAGGCCATTGAATGACTCGAGCGTGGCCAGAGAAGGGCAACGGAGCTGGGGCAGGGTCTGGAGCACAGGTCTGCTGGGGAGCGGCTGGGGGAACTGGGGGGGTTCAGTCTGGAGCAGAGGAGGCTGAGGGGAGACCTCCTGGCCCTCTGCAACTCCCTGCCAGGAGGGGGCAGAGAGGGGGTTGAGTCTCTGGAGCCAAGGAGCCAGCGCCAGGCCCCGAGGGAATGGCCTCAAGCTGCCCAGGGCAGGGTCAGGCTGGCTCTGAGGAAGGATTTCTGTGCAGAAGGGGCTGTTGGGCGTTGGAATGGGCTGCCCAGGGCAGGGGGGGAGTCCCCGGGATCCCTGGGGGGGTTGAAGAGTCGGGCTGAGCCAGCGCTGAGGGATCTGGGGGAGTTGGGAACGGTCAGGGTGAGGGTCATGGTGGGGCTGGAGGAGCTTCAGGGGCTTTTCCAACTGAGACGATTCTGGGATTCTGTCTTCTGCACCACTGGCTGTTTCACAAAGCCTCCTCAAAAACAGCTTCCTCTGTGTCAAACACAGCTGCAGTAAAACAGGACAGTCCTGCTGTCTCTTTCAACTGCCATGGGGGTTTTCTTTCCATGCCTCCCACATTTAAAACAGAGGGCAACTGGGTCACCCCTGTGGGAGGTGGGACACTTTTCACCCAACTTTGTAGCAGAAATATCTATCTTTAGACGGGGCTTGTTCAAAGGACTTCAAGGGCTTCGAGCTAGCTGCAATCTGGGCAGGCTTTGTGCTATGGAAAAGCTATGAAGTTTTAGAGAGGAAAAAAACCTTCAGAAACCTTTTATTCTGGATGACAAGTTTGGCTGAGTCTGACATCTCACAACCACACAAGTAGCACCGTTCCCACCGAGCTAGGTTGCTACTGCAGGCAGAAACACCTGGTACTGATCTTGGGGCTTTCCTGTCACTCACCCAGCGGCTGTTGGAGATTTGCGGCAGAAGGGGGTGACTTGGAGCCTCACAATCGCTCTGGAAACTCCATCATCTGTGTTGGGTGACAGTGACAGCCACCCAGAAAAGTGCAGATACTGCCTGGCAGAACCCTCCCCTTGTTTGTGGGGTGCAGGGGGTGTGCAGTAGGACAGACAATACCCAGCAGCTCTGCAAAGCACAGTAGTAATATTTAGCTGTGGCTGGGCATAATCCCTTCGCATGTATGTACACAGACACGTTTTTTGGGTTTTTTTTGATCCAGTGCTCTGCCTTTGCAACCTGGCAGCCAGCCAAACACCTCCCTATTCCCCAGGCTCCGCACGGGCAGGTTAGCATCAAACGAGTGGCGAGCAGATGGGTGGCGTGAAGGCAGCGGAGATGCTTGGATTAGCATGCAGTAGTTTTTACAGGAAGATACTTACCCGAGCTCCAAGCTCTCCGAGAAGCAAAGGCCACACGTAATCAAATTAATAGCTAGCTGGGCAGCTTGTCCGTATAAGATGGGGCTGGAGATTTCATGGGAACAGATGATAGAAAAAGAGCACGTCCAAATACAGTTTACATGGACTGCCATCGAGCTTGGAGCAGAGCCAGCAGGGCTAATGAGTTCTCAGCGTGGAAGTGTCCCAGAGTTTATTTCCTACCATCTGGAAAATGCCCGCCCTTCCACTGGGATTTGTGATGATTCAGACAGGAGACGGGATTATTAAAAAAATCTCAGAAACACACTTGTCCTCCCTCCCTGTCTCCCCCCACCCCATCTGTTTGGCTTGGCAGTGCAGGGACCGGCTGCCTGCTCATGCGTTCCGAGATGAAACGGCTCCTTTAAGACCCCTCTCCACGGGGGATGGCAACTGGAGTGAAATTAGCCTTATGTATTTTGGGCTAGAGACAGATTGTTCTTGAATGGGTCCATTAAAAAAAGCAGCAGTCTTGGGGAAACAAAATGCCCAGGTGGTAATGGTAATTTTGGTGGACGCAGAAAATAGTTGGGGTGGTGGGAAATGTCACCCCAGACCTCCTCCTTCCAGTGCCACATCCCTGCTCCAGCACAGCACATCCAGCCAGGGGATTACCGAGGACATGTTTTCCTTCCTTAGCATAAAGTATGAAAATTGAGCTTTTTCCCCCAGAAATCACATAGTGCAAATTGCATTCTGAAAGCTAAGCATGGCCATTCCAAAGGGCCAACACCCATCTGTCCATCTTCCTCGGGGAGCCATGTTGGTTTTTATGCCTTGTCAATGATTTGTGCACTT